TGCCGGGGCCAGTTTAAAAAAAGAAACCGTATTGTCGAGCCGCGACACGTTTATTCAGTATCTCTGCTGAGCAATATAATAAAATAATAAAATATGACCTTTTTTTAACGCTCGACACTTGCTCGCGACACCGTATCACACCGGGAAAACAATTTGTACGATTTCTGGAACTTACAATTGTATACACTGTACGTCAATGACCTTAGGGCGACAACGTGTGTCAATAAACTCGTGTGTATTATTATTGTTGGTTAATATCTTTTGAAATCCAACGCACACGCCGCGTTTTAACCTTACCACCCCACTCGGCCGACGAAAAATTGTGTTTTTAGTAGCGACAAAAAAAAAAAATTGTTTTTTTTTTTATTCCTACAATTTGGGACCCGCCGGAGGAGCTTTTGGGCGCCGACCATATCTCACGACGATATTGAGGCGCACACCTATTCGTCGGTTGGGCACAATACAATTTATATTGTAACACAACATATTAATCGCCTTCCGTCACGGCCGTTTACGTGCTCACTCGGTCGGATTTCATGGAACGGCGGCGGCAGTAAATGGGAAATTATTCAAATCGTTTAAACGCGTTTTCCCGACTTGATAACAAACGGGCAACGACGACGACACACCATGTTGGAAAAAAAAAAAACGTGGCAGCTAACCGCGTCGTGTTGTTAAAACCAGAGCGACCACCAAATCTTATCCTATTCCTCTTCACGATCGGTTTCACATCGTTTGTAGGAACGTGACGGGCTCAGGAATTTTGGACCCACATTTCTGAATAAAAGGCACATAACTACCTGCTGGCACTCACCCCCTCAGCGGTCGGACGGCGTTTCCACAAACGAGAAAAGAAAATATCTCCTGGAGACCCACTGCAATAGAATATACGGCGGCCCTAACGCTGCGACGTGCCAACTCCGATTTCGACAAATTCCACGTTTGCTGTGACGAGCATAAAAAATCGAGTAGTTGACGACAATCGACGACCCCGACGACATATCGACACACGGCCCATTCGGTAAGTGCGTCCAAAAGCCACGAGTACATTATTAGAGGATCTAAAAATAAAACATACACACGTAAGTGGACCAACGACGACTGTCGACACTACACTTAAAACAAACGTTAGTAATAGAGAAATGAAAATATTTACGACACAATTATAAACAGTTATGATATTCCGCTTAAAAAATATGATAAAAGACAAATTATTCACTCGACAGACGTCCATCACTTAGAATTTTCCATCTTCACTGTCTAATTCAATATTAAATTCCTCTTAGATCCGCTGAAATTTATCACTAAAAAAATTCTATAAGAACGTATTGTTGAAAAACTTTGATTCTGTAAAAGTTTAACGACTACACATTTTTTGTACGAGATTTTATTAACTTTTAATATAGAAAACATTATTTCGATTGACAAATTAGGTGTCATATTACTACAATTAAAGTGGATGAGTATTTTTTTTTACAAAGCGTACGCTTTTTATTCGTAAATCTATAAAACACACCGAAAGAGCAATTGTCTTAAATTATTCTTATTTTTGCGTTTTCCAATCTTTAGGTAGTTTGATATACAGAGTGTTCAGTAAATAAGGAAACGAATTTCTATTGTACTCATTGTTTGTAACAATTTAACTGTTTCCTAACTTACTGAACACCCTGTATAAATTAACTATTGCAGGTAAATTGTTCATATATTTTCGGTCATCTACGTTTTCTCGACGGTGTTAGGTGTCACCTCGCGATTCTTAATTATTATAAGATATAATCAACACATAGTTTTAAATCAAACAGATAAATTGCCGGTGACGACGTAATAGATTAAAGCTCTATACTTTAATCATAGAGGTGTAAAAAGCTAATTAATTTCAACGCAATATCATTAGCTGAGGATAACTCAGAAATTGGCCAATAGACGAAAACAACCGACGCAACGAACGATTTGTTCAATTCACATCCGAAAATTGTGTCGCTAAAATGTATTATTGACTACTATGAAAAAAAACCAAGTATGATTTATTCGCGATTGGTGAAAGAACAAATTTAGTTGCTAAAACATCGGAAATAAGTCAATGAAACTATCAATTAATTATCGAACTGGTTTTGGAGGCGGTATTTGAAGTAAATTCCAAATTCTTTCCAACGCCTACGGCAAACCCATAAAAATCCGAGTAAACAGCTAGTTTTATTATTATTTTATAAATTGCACACGAGACCAAAACTGTACTTGGTCAATAAAAACCACGAGGATACAATACCTTCGCTAAAGTAAGTTCTCTAATATCGATTAACGTCGAATGTTTTGAAACAACAGTTTTCGTCAAAACTAACATTAAAACAATTACTAAAAAGTCAGTCATTGCGCCGCCATTAATATAATAGCCAGTGTTCTACTATTTTAAGAAAAAGTATATCGTTAACAACATCGTTTCAACTAGAATTTCGCCTAAAAAAACGGGTCGCATACATCACAAGACGAGTACTCGCTCAGTGATCACAAAATGAGACGACGACAGGCGGTAGACAGGCGACAGCAATCGAGCGGAGTTTCTACAGTACATGGGCGAGGTTTCCTGTATGCGCACAGGACTCGCCTTGAAGACGCTTCCTTTGATTCCTTTGTTTTTGTCATCGTCTATTGGTCTTATTCTGTCGATTCCAACGTACTCGGTACATTTTAACAACAATAAAATAATTAATGTACTTGGCCCGGAATCAGGACACACGATTGGATTATCCAGCAAAACACAAATTCAAAAACATTCACCCACACACAACCGGAACAACGGTAAAAAGCAACAATAATTAATTCGTTTAATGTCGGGGTGGTCACCGCCGCAATATTGTTCAAATCATCGGTATTAACGACAAACAAATGAGAAACGTTCGTTACTCTGTGGTCGTATACCGTTTGTCGCTATTGTCCAGCTCAAAATATTGTCTGTATAAACTAATCACAATCGTTTTAAAGAGAAGCCACACAGATATGTCATCCTTAGACCCCGCCGCCGTACATCGCTAACAAATGGGCTAATGAACCTGGTGAAAAAATACATTTTCCACTCGATGATAGAGACACGTGAAATGGATTCGGTGGGAATAATGGGTAGCAGCGCTATTAATACCAAGTCGTGCCCTCCTCGACAACACACACTGCGCAGCAGGACACTGTACTCATCGGCCTTGGTTTTGTGTTTAGAAAAAACAAGGGCTCGCAAATATCGTTAGGGGAAGTGTACACTCGTGATAATATTTTCTTACGACAACAACAACACTCTCGAATGTCGTCTCATAAGCTTTAAGATGTCCGTTGATTCGAGTGTAATTCACAGTCGATTTTGCATTAATCGAGTTTAGCACTGTATCCATTGGCGTTTTGTGAAGTGGTTACAGCACAATGTGTACGGTTTCGTCACGTTCGTGATATCACCATAAAAAAAAAATAAAAACATTGGTTGTAACGCATTCAAGAAGAAAACGGCTCTATATAGATTTTTTTTCTTACCTAATCCCATTTCTCATACGGTTCTGGGTACGAGAGAAGACGCGGTCGTATCACGTTACCGTATTTGTTTTTTTTATTTTTCGTGTACGGGGCGGAAACAACATCCGAATGAATGAAAAAGGAACATACCTGGGATTTATAATCTCAGAAGAGAAAAAATACGTTATCTGGAGGTGATGTGCACAAAAGACGAAGAGGTACATTGCACGTGAATTTACAGGGGCAGATGTGTGTTGTATGACCAGTTCTGTGCGTATGCTGCAAACACCTGGTCTGTTATCGAAACCCAGAGACTAGAGAGAGGAGGAGGAGGAGGAGGAGAATCATGAGCCGGCATACGACCAGAGCATTATGCGTGCACATAAAAATAATAATAATTATTAATTACGTTATTTATACGGACGATACGTATAAAGAGGACGTGCTTCGGAACTCGCGGGAGGAGATGAAAAATAAACGGTGTCACGGAAGTTACGAAGCCAAATGCAAGTGAAGTAACTGTCATATAAATTACTCTAATAACTGGATTTATTCCACACGAATTAATCACAGATTTCTGTCGAACACGTACATGACATAGGAAAAAGAATTTTATTTATATTTAATAACATATGATAAGCTTCAAATGTGACATTCATTGTTTTTTTTTTTTATTAGGAAATTTAATCGCTAACATGTTTTTCTAAAAATAGTGTAAAGAATATTTTACTTTTGTACGAGTCCTTGTGGTTAACAATCCGCAATTATTACAAATAACCAACGGAACTCTTCCTGGAGATGTTCAACAGGGTTTAGGAATTTTAATTATACCGCTATTGGATCATATTCTAAAAAAATGTCGAACGCGCAATTATATTTACATTGGACCTACGCCAGATTAAGTCACGGTGTAAAATAAAACATCATTGTCGTGCTCAACACATAAAGTCGTCATTACAGATTACAATATTTCTAGCAAATAACCGAATTCATCGTACTCTATGTGTTATGCAATATAAATTCTGAGGAATATTAATTTATACCAGGGTAATGCCTTTAATAAAAAACAAATGCATCGACAAGTCGAAAATGCAGTCGGGCTTCTTACAAAAACGAGCTGCTTCATTTCACATCACACGAGATTTATCGGGTCAAAAATTTGTAGCCGAAAAACACTGGAACTTTTAAATAGGCGAGTACACCAACTAAACCGTTTCGGATGATCGCGCATTTTCAACTAATGAGTAATTTTTATTAACAAAGTAATTTCACGTTTGTATAGCTGTAGATGATAATAGTGTAAAATATTAGGCGTTACTCCGATCGAAAAAAAAATACTCATCAGTGTTAGAAGCAATCCGATAAGAACGTAATTAATTAATTGATAAAATTACGGTCTAGATAAATATTCCAATATCTTAAATAAGTTAAACTAATTTCCCGAGTAAATAAAAATGATAATAACGTGCACAAAATCAAAACGAAATCGATAAAAACAAAATTCTTACCTGAATGTTAACGTTTCGACTAAATTGGCAGACGGATTCGCGAAATTCAAGCAACACGTGTTCCCCGGCTCGATGACAGAGCTCACAAGTCCATTGCATGTGTTTTAGTAGTTCACTGGAGTACACAGAAAAAAGACAAGCACATGTGCTTGTACATGGAAAAAAATTCTCGAGATGAAAAAACGACTGATACCATATCTATATATAAATGTGTACAATATTGCTATGATTTGTAAAACAGCAATAGCGACCGACAAATGGGAAGGACGGCCGCGAACGACTACTAACCTGCGCGGCGTGTAAATAAAGGAACCTCTTCGAGCTGCTAACTTTAATTTCCAGCCATCATTATGCGTGTGATATAGTGGTGGGGTAAGGTTATTAGATCTGTGCTAGCAGCGGGAACTATTGCTGCCGTCGATCCTGACAATGTGCTGACATCTACCGAATAAAATAACAAGTATCAAATTTATGATCTTTCCCCATTGCAGTCCAACAGAAATTATCTCACGAGTGCGGCATTCGAAATTTATACTTCAGGCTGCTGGGGGTCTGTTGAGCGGACAGTAAAACCAAATATTTAAAACAAATTTTTGCCCTCCATGAAATATTTCTAAGGTATGGCGTTACTCTTTAGGAGGAATATAATGAAAAGCTAATCGGGGGCTGATCTAAAAAAATAAACCAAACCCGTTCGATTTGAAAAATACATTTTTACATAACTGATTAATTAGATCTTAATATATTTTTTTTTAACTTATATAGGAACTATTGACTATTATTTATTGGTATAAAATCTATTTTATCAAAACTTTATGTATTTTTCAATTTTCCATAAAATGGTTAAATTTTATTTTTATTTAAAAGGGTTTTTAAAAAATTCATCGAACTATTTAAAAGGAAAAATAAAAAAAAATAATCTTTTATTTTCATTTTGTGGAGTTTACCTTTATGGAGTTTTAGATTTTTGAATTGTAATTAAATATTAGCTTTAAAAATTTATCTTTTTGGGACTATGAAACTCATGATATTTAGATATAGTTAGCAAAATATCGGCTCTCTTGGTCTACATGAGATGTATTTTGAATTTATTAGTAATAATTAAAATTAGTATAAGAAATTCAATAGTAAAAAATGTTTTATAATACTGTCCGTTTACTACCTTTTTCTTATTATTACACAAGAATATATATATTTTTGATCATTTATTTTTATTATGTACATCATCATTTAATTCTCCAAAAAGTTCACAAAATTAAAAAATTCGTCTACAGTTGTAAATAAAATTTGATCATAGTTAATAAAATATTATCGAGTTGCGAAAGAAAGTAGTGTGATAAGAGAACTCCAATGAGGCTGACAGGTAAATTCTGTAAGACTGTAGTGAGACCAAATATTTATGTATGGTTCAGAGTGTTTGGCTGTTGACAAGAAAGTAGAGTAGATAATGATTGAAGCAGAGATGAGAATGTTTAGATGGATGAGTGGAGTGACTAGAGAAGATAGGATATGAAACGAACATATAAGAGGGAAGTTAGGTGTAGCGTCAATCATAGATACATAAGAGAAAACAAACTTAGATGGTTTGGTCATGTTATGAGGAAAGAAAAATCGGAAGCTATAAAAGTAGTTATGGAAATGAATGTTGAAGGAAGAAAAGGTAGAGGAAGACCAAAAAAGAAATGGAAGGATGTAATTGAATGCGATATGAGGACGGCTGATGTGAGTGTAGAAGATGTGGGAGATCGTGTCAAATGGAAGTTTAAGATAAAGGTGGCCGACCCCAAGTAGTTGGGATTAAGACGAGGAAAAAGAACAAGATTATTGAGTTTCTAATGAAACAAAACGTGACTTATCATTGAAAAACTAATTACAAATGTATCACATAAAGTTTATGTGGTGGAATTCTACCACATAACTTTATGTATCCCTCAACTAGCCATAATAATGACTATGCTATGAAATATTGTTACCAATTCCATAAGTTACCACTGTATAAGTAATATGGGCCCCATGAAATGACATACGGTCATAAGAAATTGTCACTGGTCTACACAATATAGAAACGAGTAAGTTTTTAGGATGCATAATATAAATAGTTATCATAAAAACTATATAATTTTCGCAATAGTACATTTTATTCTTTCAAAAGTATTTTGCAAAGATGTTACAAAATAGGTTTTTGAGAATTATTATCAGATCGACGGAGAAGGATGCTTTTGTTTGTGTGTAAAGTACATATGTGCAATTAATACTAATACAATTATGTATAACATTAGGCGGAACGATTCTTTTAACGCTAGCCACACCACTCCACTTTACTTAAAATAATAATTATGTTAATGAAATTATTTTTGGATGTATTTTAGTTTCAAATATTTCTAGATTTATCAGTTATTAATAACTTTTTTAATTCATTCTTTATACTTTATTAGGTTTTATCTAATAAAATAAAAAAATGTATAATTAAGAAGATTACTGGTCAATAACAATTTTAGACTCATTACTTCGGAAGTTATTACTATTTTAAAATGTATACTAGACGTCAGACTAATATGTTTCATTAGACATTTTTCAATCACACCTCTCCCACTCTAATTGTTGAAACCAAAATATATTACTATATTTAAAATGAAATATACAAAAAACAATAATTATACAATAATGTAACGAATTATTTCATTTTTCATTACACAGTTTTCGAAAAATGGTAAAGTTTGCTATGGTTTTTTAGATGGTGTTAAGTAGCGAAAAGTTACAAATCATTTTTTATTTAAACACATCACAAAAATGTTGGAAATTGTCAATGAGCTTATTTTGATACTAGCGTGCAGTTTTATATCAATTTATGATAAATTATTTCCTTTTCTGAAAATATTAAAGAGGATAAAATTGGAATACCCTGATGCAATGATAGATATTGAATCAGGGGTAGTATTACTGTAGCAAAAATTCTATATCAACATTTTTGGTCCTAAAAGCTTTTGAGTATTCCTCTGTTAACAGTACTCAAATGCGAATCCAGAAGATATTTTTTTGGGGGGTGGGCATTTTACTATATTTATCATAACGAAAGCTATTTAAATAAAATTATAAAAAAAAAAATGTTGAACTATTGTTACTATGCCCCTCCATTGAGTCCGTGTATCTGACATAACTTATCCAAAAGTTAATTTCGAAGCTATAAAACTTCAGTTTCACTTGATATAAATGAATACATTTATTATCCTACTCTTTATTTGTTCAGCTGCAATTAAAAAATATAAATTAATAGTCAAACAATATATAAGAGTCTATCAGTTAAACGTGTTTCGTAAACTCCATATTCTGTGAGTACTGATAAGTGCTAATTAAATGAAATTAATACTATACCAAGTTTCGCCGAGAAATAACTGAGTAGCTAACTTCAATAATTACTTAAAAAAAGTATTACCATTATGTCAAATACCGTAACGTACACCGGTCACCGGTGTTTATGGTATTCGTTGGCGGCACTGTTGTTTAATGAAATTATTGGGCGGTCCAAATGGCAATATTCGTCTTTTGCTAATCAGTGTGGTCATTTTGCAAATTATCGTTCATATGTAAGTGTAACGACTGCCTGGAAAAGTGCTATCTTGTCATTCAAATAAGTCGTCTACGCGAAATTAACATGTTTCTTATAAATTTATATTGAACGATATGCAGTTACTTCTGTTCTAAACTATATTATTATTTAAGAACTTCGTCCTTATAAATCCAGATTAACTGAAACAAAATTCCATCTATTGGGTTTTCCCTTCTTATCAGAATGTGAAAACCGGTCCTTTTTATTGTATTATACATAAATAATTAATATTCTGAGGTAAATATGTATTAAAATTAAAAATAACTTCAACATGTTAATAATTTTATGAATGAACTAAAATATTTATGTTAATTTACTATGTTAAATCGACTTTTATTTGCAGCAGAAATGACTGAATCGTTGGACAGTGGCACTGCCAACGTCAGTATGACGATGGACGAGAATTCATCTAACTCTTTATCTGTGATAGATGAGGTATTGTTCATTGATTATTTAAAGAAAACTGTGTCTACTATATTACAAGGAGACAAATCGGCTACAGAACAGATGTTAAATTTAATGCTCAATGATTCCTCCAATCTTGAATGTGTTAAAAAATTTTTAACAGACTCCAATACATCTACTATTTTCATTCAAAAAAGTTACTCCAAAGGTATTTAGTAGAGAACATTAGTAAAACGAGTTTATTAATTTTTTATTTTTGTCATTTTGATATAAACAGATGAAGAAACAGAAAATGGCACAGAAGGTGATGAAGAAAAAGAAACTCCTGTTTATTATTTATCTAATGAAGTTGTTTTCACTAATCAAAAAATGACTAGGTAATATCTTGTGATAAAAATGTAAATAAAAGTTTTCATAATATGAATTTTTTATCAAATAAATATATTTGTAGCTTATCCTTGATGAAGAGAGGAACTATAATAGAAGCTGACAAGCCTATTCCTAGTCAATTAAGAATCGTTCAATTCAATGATGGCTCACCATATGAAACTTTACATGCATTAGTTAGTAAAGCTATAACTCCATATTTTAAAAGCTATGTTAAAGAATCTGGAAGAGCTGATAGGTATTTACTTAAAATATAATTTCTAGCGTGGGTTATTTCATTTTTTGTGTTAAACTTAATATTTTTAGGGATGGTGATAAAATGGCTCCATCAGTTGAAAAGACTATGGTTGAACTGGAAATGGGTTTATTGCATCTACAACAAAATATTGACATTCCTGAAGTAACATTAACTATAAATCCTACTGTATTAGCAATGGTTAGCAAATGTGCCGAAGAAAATCGTAAACCAAAAGTTTCTGATTTTGGGGCACTAGTAGAAGATTCTAAATTTTTAAACCAACTTCAAGCTGGTGTTAATCGCTGGATCAAAGAAATACAAAAAGTAATATTACTTAAGGCAAAAATGAAAAAATATATCAATCTTTTAAATTATTTTAGGTAACAAATTTAGATAGAGACCCATTGAATGGCACAGCTTTACAAGAAATAAGCTTTTGGTTAAATAAAGAAAGAGCACTACATCGTATACAAGAAAAACGTGAAAGTTTGGAAGTTGGATTAACATTAGAAATTTTAAAACATGGAAAACGTTTTCATGCTACAGTTAGTTTTGACAGTGATACTGGCTTGAAAACTGCTTTAGCAACTGTTAATGATTATAATACTTTGATGAAAGATTTTCCTATTAATGATTTATTAGCTGCAACTGATTTAGATAGAATTCGTATTGCTATTGAACATATTTTCATTCATTTGCGTAAAATACGAAGCACAAAATATCCTTTACCTAAATTGCTAAAATTAGTTGAAGCTATTTCCAGAGATTTACTATCAAAACTTTTAAAAGTAAGTTAGATTTATATTATCTTGTTATGATATTATAAAGTAATTATGGTTAAAAAAATTTTCATAGGTATTAGGTACAAGATTTCTAATGCATATACCATTTGATGAGTTTGAAAAAGTCATGTTGCAGTGCTTTAATGTTTTTACTGCATATGATGATGAATTTGATAAACTCCAAGTAATATTAAGGTAATAAGATAATTTTTGACAACAATTTAAAAATAAAGCCAACATAAATTACTTGATTTCAATATTTTATTATTATAATTTTTATCATAGAGATGTAGTTAAAAGAAAACGTGATGAAACATTCAAAGTTGTTTGGAGAATACAACCAGATCATAAAAGATTACAAACTAGACTTGAACATATGAGAAAATTCAGACAGCAACATGAACAACTTCAAGCAGTTATAATGAGAGTACTTAGGCCTACTACCCAACAATCGCAATTAAGAGAAGATCAAGATCAAGGACCTGCTTCATTATCACCAGCGCCAGATACTAGTGCAATTGAGGTAAAATAATACATTTTTTAGCTTAGTAAAAATTTATTAAAGAAGGTTTTCTGCTAAATATTATGTAGATGAAGTTCAAAAATATTTTTTTCCATTTTGAGTAGCTTCCAAATTATTTTTCTTTTTTTGAAATACTTTTTATGTATCCAATACATAATATTAAAAGTATCTATGGAGAGAGACAGCCCAAGATAGAGATAGGTGGCGAAGCGTAGTAATGGCTGCAAAAACTCTTAGAGAGTAGGAATGCCAGTAAAATAAGAAAAGAAGAAATACTTTTTATAACTCGTCAACTAATACACAATGTATATGTATATTTCCTTTTTTTTTATTATACAATCTCTACATGAAGCGTAAAAGATAATAAAAAATTTAACATGATTATTTTGAGAAGAGAAGCCCATTGACAACACTCTTATTGAATTGACAATTTTTTTTTATAATTAAATTATTATTATTATTATCATTTTTTATTGTTTGTCAAGAAGTATAAAATATATCAACAACAAAAGCATTTATTTTTAAATTCATTAAGTTAAATTATAAAATTATTTTATTAATTAATAGGAAGTTAATTCAGCCTATGAAAACATTAAAGTAGTAGACTGTTTGGATATCAGCCGTGAAGGTGTTGAAGCTTGGGAAGCTGCTGTAGCTCGTTATGAAGAGCGCATTGACCGAGTTGAAGCTAGAATTACTGCTCATTTAAGAGATCAATTAGGGACAGCTCGTAATGCCAATGAAATGTTTCGTATATTTTCTCGGTTTAATGCTTTGTTTGTTCGTCCTCATATTCGAGGAGCAATTCGAGAATACCAAACTCAACTTATCAATAAAGTTAAAGAAGATATTGAAGCATTGCATGATAAATTTAAGGTAAACTTAATACTATTTTTTAACTTATTCTTTAGCTATAGAAATACATTTTTAGACTCAATATCCACAAAGTAAAGCATATTTTTTAAGTTATCAACAAGATATACCACCAGTTGCTGGCTCTATTCTTTGGGCAAAGCTTATTGATAGTCAACTTTCTGCATATCTCCGTCGTGTTGAAGATGTTCTAGGTTTGGTGAACTTTAATGATTAATTTACTGAAGTATATAATTAAAGGTCTTATTTAACTGTTGTTATACATTTTTAGGTAAAGGTTGGGAAGATCATTTAGAAGGTCAAAAGTTAAAAGCTGATGGAGATAGTTTCCGTTTAAAATTAAATACTAGAGATATTTTTGATGAATGGGCTCGTGGTGTTTTACAAAGAAACATGGGAGTATCTGGTAGAATATTTACAATTGAAAGTACAAGGTCACGAACTGGCAGGGGAAATGTTTTAAAGCTAAGGGTAATATAAATAAATTTTAGTTTATTATAATATATTTAAGTCAAACAGTTTAATATTAAATTACTCAATAGGTAAACTTTTTACCTGAGATTATAACATTATCAAAAGAAGTGAGGCATTTGAAAAACCTTGGATTTCGAGTACCTTTAGGCATAGTAAATAAAGCTCATCAAGCAAATCAATTGTATCCATTTGCTATTTCTCTAAGAGAAAGTGTTCGTACTTATGAGTGTACCTTAGATAAAGTAAGTTATTACTTGAATTGATCTTTTTTAACTTTAATTGAATACTAATTTGTATATCTCTTATTAAAATAAACAACTTTTTCGTTAGCTTATCCTTAGAAGTGATTACCTTAAGGTAGTTTTTTTATTTTTATTGTATGTATTCTTATTAACATAATTATATTTTTTATTAGACTGAAGACAAAACCAGTGTTGTACCTCTTATAGCTGGTTTACACAAAGACACTCAAGCTCTTATTGCGGAGGGCATACAAATGGTTTGGGAAAGTTATAAATTAGACCTATATGTTCAAAAGTATGCCGAACAAATACTTGCATTCCAAGAAAAAGTTGAAGATTTATTAGTTGTGGAGGAGCAACTTGATTTAGATGTAAAATCTTTGGAAACGTGTGCTTATTCTGCTAGCACTCTAGCAGATATTCTTTCTAAAATTCAAAGAGCTGTTGATGATTTATCTCTACGCCAATATTCAAATTTACATATTTGGGTGACACGTCTAGATCAACAGGTTTGTTGAGTTGTGTTAATAATTATAAAATATTTATCATTTCTTTGATTAAAATATTATTTTTAAACATAGATTGAAAAAAGTTTATCAGCAAGATTACAAGCTGGTATACAAGCATGGACCGAAGCTTTAGAAGGAAAAAAAAAAGATTTAAGCATGGATACAGATGCTCCTCCTCAGCCTACAAATAAATTAGGTGGTGATCCTCAAATTAAAGTTCAAATTCTCGAAGTTAGAATTACTAATCAAACTATTTATCTATATCCAAATTTGTGTGAGGCTCGTGTTCAACTCATGCAGCAATTTTTTGCTTGGCAAGCAGTTGTGACTTCTCAAACTAGATTGCAAAGTTCCAGGTATCAAGTTGGTTTAGATCAACCAACATCACAGACATATCAAGATCTTTTAGCTAATTTGCCATCAGGTGAAGTTGCTTTAACAGCTGCATTTGATGCTATGGAAAGAAAAATCAATGAAGTATATTTCAATTAATTGATTTTCTTTTTTGTAATTTATGTATTTGTAAAGAATAATTCATTATATATAGGCTGAAAAATACATGTCAGAATGGCTGATATATCAATCATTATGGGATTTACAAGCAGAAAACTTATATAACCAAATGGGAGAAGATATTAATATTTGGATGACTTATCTAAATGATATACAGTAAGTTATTATTTGAAAGTTTCAAAATATTTACTTAAAATTCTCATGTATTTTAGAAAGTCTCGTAAAACATTTGATACTACTGAAACACGTAAAGATTTGGGTCCATTTATCATAGAATATGGTAAAGTTCAAAGTAAAGTAGCATTGAAATATGATTCTTGGCATAAAGAAATTTTGAACAAGTTTGGAGGACTACTTGGAAATAGTATGACACAATTTCATGTTCAAGTTGCTAAAGTAAGCTATTTACAATTTAACTAATATTAAAGTATCAGATAAATATTTCTGTACTAATATTAAATTTTAGTCTCGAAATGATATGGAAAAACAATCAATTGAAGCAGCTAGTACATCAGACGCTGTTTCATTTATTACTTATGTTCAATCATTAAAGCGCAGTATGAAAGCTTGGGAAAAACAAGTAGATCTTTACAAAAAGGGTCAAAAAATATTAGAAAGACAACGCTTTCAATTTCCTAGTAATTGGCTTGATTTAGATAATGTGGAAGGTGAATGGAGTGCTTTCAATGAAATTATTAAAAGAAAAGATAAATCAATTCAAACTCAAGTAAGTTATTATGAATTATAACATCAAAATTATTAAATAAAAATTTTTTTTATTTAAAATAAATATACTTTTAAAATTTTTGTGAGAGTTTTTTTATTTTATAAACATAATATTATAGGTTCAAAGTTTGCAAATGAAAATTATTGCTGAAAACAAAGCTGTTGAAGCTAGAACCAATGATTTCTTGATAGAATGGGAACAAGGTAAACCAGTTGCTGGAAGCACACAGCCTGATGATGCATTATCTCAGCTACAAGTTTTTGAAAATAAATTTACTCGAATTAAAGAAGAGCGAGATAATGTAGCTAAAGCTAAGGAGGCACTTGAACTTAAAGATCCAGCTGGTATGTTGTAGTAAATTTTATTAAAAATACATGTTTTTTAAGTAAAATGTATGAAATATTTATCATACAATATTGTTTATGATGTTAGGAAGCACACTGTCTAGTGCAGAAGATCGCATGATAGTAGTATTTGAAGAAATGCAAGATTTGAAAGGTGTATGGTCTGAATTATCTAAAATATGGGTACAAATAGATGAAATTAGAGAAAAACCATGGCTTTCAGTGCAACCAAGAAAGTTACGCCAACAATTAGATGGATTGACCAATCAATTGAAAGAACTACCAGCTCGTTTCAGGCAATATTCATCATATGAATATGTTAAAAAATTACTTCAAAACTATGTAAAAGTAAGCAACTTTCTCATTCTATTTGTGATCTCGCATTATTTCACTTTATTTTATGTGGTAGAACTTTTAATTAAGAACTTATATTGTTAGCTGTTAACTTGCCAACCCTCCCTAATGATTCCCACTCTGTGATCGGGTTAACGGGAGGGGGCTACACCACATTGCGAATCAACTCATGATTAATTTTGGGATGATTCACAACGAGGTGGCGTTAATTATATAGACATCATGGGCTGCTCTGAAGTAATGCCGATCATTGAAAAAAAAAAAGCTGTGAACTTTAATAAAAAGAGTTATTTCTTCAAATCATCTTAAATTTTTTTTTCTGAAAAATAATTTCATGAGTAAAATAAGTATTTATTACACATAATAAATACTTTAATACATTAATAGGCTTAAAAATTTTGTGTTTTTTTAGGTTAACATGACTGTTATTGAATTAAAATCTGATGCACTTAAAGATCGCCATTGGAAGCAATTAATGAGGAAACTTCGAGTAAATTGGACTTTTTCTGATATAACATTAGGACAAATATGGGATGTTGATTTACAAGCAAATGAAGCAGTTGTCAAGGATATTATTATGACTGCTCAAGGAGAAATGGCTTTAGAAGAATTTTTGAAACAAGTAAATATTTAAGCAGTAAAAATAAATGATATTTTTTGGTGGAAGTATTATAAATCATTGGCATTTCTTAGGTGCGTGACATATGGCAATCATATTCGTTAGATTTGATAAATTATCAAAATAAATGTCGTTTAATAAGAGGATGGGATGAACTTTTTAATACTGTTAAAGAACACATAAATTCAGTTGCAGCTATGAAATTGTCTCCATATTATAAGGTACACTTTTTTTCTTGTAACTCTTTACTTTATTTTCTTATTAATTGGTTTTAAAAACCCTTTTATTTGTTAAGGTGTTTGAAGAAGAAGCATTAACTTGGGAAGAAAAACTCAATCGAATTAACACTCTTTTTGATGTCTGGATTGATGTCCAACGCCGTTGGGTTTATTTAGAAGGTATTTTTTCTGGAAGTGCTGATATTAAAACTTTACTACCAGTTGAAACTTCAAGATTTCATAACATAAGGTAATTTATATTATGAAAAATTAAAAAAGCTTTTTAGTTATTTTGTAATCTTTTTACTTCCATGTTAGTTCTGACTTTTTGGGTTTGATGAAAAAAGTCTCTAAATCAAGGATGGTAATTGATGTATTGAATATTCAAGGAGTACAAAGATCACTTGAAAGATTAGCAGATTTATTAGGAAAAATCCAAAAAGCACTTGGCGAATATTTAGAAAGGGAAAGAATGTCTTTCCCAAGATTTTACTTTGTAGGGGATGAAGATCTTTTAGAAATTATAGGAAATAGTAAAAATATTTCTAGACTACAAAAACATTTTAAGAAAATGTTTGCTGGTGTAGCATCTATTATTTTGGATGAAACATCTACTATTATACTTGGTATAGCATCTCGTGAAGGAGAAGAAGTAATTTTTTGCAATTCTATTTCTACAGTAGATCATCCTAAAATTAATGAATGGCTAACCTTGGTTGAAAAAGAAATGCGTTTTACATTAGCATCACGTTTAGGAGAAGCTGTCACCAATAGCAAACAATTTAAACAAGAGACTATTGACCATGATGCTTTTATGAAATGGTGTGATAGTTATCAAGCTCAGATAGTTGTTTTGTCAGCTCAAATTTTATGGAGTGAAGATATTGAAATAGCATTGCATCAAATTCAAATACAATGTGAAAATGAAAATGCTGCCCCTCCTAAGATGACACCTTTAGAAAATGTATTGACCCAAGTTGAAACATCATTAAATTTTTTGGCAGACTCTGTTTTACAAGAACAACCTCCTCTCAGAAGAAAGAAACTAGAGTATTTGGTAAATACTTTGTTACTGTCTATTTTTAATGTAATACTTTTAAATTCTGATTATATTCTTGTGTTATTTAGATAAATGAGTATGTTCATAAACGTATGATAACTCGAAGATTAATAGCAAGAAAAGTTTCGAGTCCTAGGTCATTTGAGTGGTTATGTGAAATGAGGTTTTATCTAGATTCACAACAAACTGATGTTCTTAAGCAATTAACTATACAAATGGCTAATGCTAACTTTTACTATGGTTTTGAATATTTAGGAGTACAAGACCGATTAGTTCAAACTCCTTTGACTGATCGTTGTTATTTAACTATGACTCAAGCATTAGAAGCTAGATTAGGAGGTTCACCATTTGGTTAGTGTAATTAAAAAATAATGGTAATCATAGATGATATTAATACAAATATTTAAATATTGTTTTAATCAGGTCCAGCAGGAACTGGTAAAACTGAATCAGTAAAAGCCTTGGGTCACCAACTAGGAAGATTTGTATTGGTATTCAATTGTGATGAAACTTTTGATTTCCAAGCTATGGGTCGAATATTTGTTGGTCTTTGTCAAGTAGGTGCTTGGGGTTGTTTTGATGAGTTTAACCGATTGGAAGAACGAATGTTATCAGCTGTTTCACAACAGATACAAACTATCCAAGAAGCACTGAAATCACAAATGGATTCTAAAAAAACTGGTAAGTCTTACCAATTTATTTATAAATCGTTTAAGTTATTGGATAAATTAATTAATCTAGGAAATTTATATGTTTGATTTTTAACTTAAAAGATTTGTTTAATAATTTAAAACAAAAATAAACGTTTATCTTTTTTACAAATTGCTCATAATTATAAGTATTAAATAAATAAATGAATAAATATCTATTTATAGATATCACAGTAGAGCTTGTTGGAAAACAAGTTCGTGTTTCAACAGATATGGCAATTTTCATAACTATGAATCCTGGTTATGCTGGCCGTTCAAATCTTCCTGATAATTTGAAAAAATTATTCAGATCATTAGCAATGACAAAGCCTGATCGTCAACTTATTGCTGAAGTTATGTTGTTTTCTCAGGGTTTCCGTACAGCTGAGAAACTTGCATGCAAAATTGTACCTTTTTTCAAGTAAATATGCATTATAGTAAACAAAGACGATTTTAAAATATTATCTTGGTTTTTAAATGTGCCGGCTATAATTTTAAATACTCATTTTCCTAATAGGAATAATAATTAAGCTTTAGTACTTACTATTAATTGTTCTAAAGCTACAAATACAATTAAAAACCTAAACGTCATTAAAATTGTAACAAATTAATTATATAAAACTTATTATTATATTTAAAAAAAAAATTATTTATTTAAAATTTTACTTTATGGGTGCTTCATTGTTTCCTATTTGTTTACGAAATCATAGATTCAAACCATGTGTTATGTCTTTTTCACAACTAAGCATGATCTATGCATTTAATCGTTGATAAACTATTTATGAATTTAGGTAACGTCTTATTAATTTTAATTTACCATAACATTCTTTCATTACAAGCAGTAGTATTGAGAACATTTGTTGCTAACCGACAAATTTGATTAAATAATTAATTTTATGACACAAGTTAAATACGTTACATTTCCTTTGTCTATTTTTTTAAATTTTGATTTATGTCATCAGTTTTTTCAGTATCATTTTCTGTCATAAGAATCATCATTTTTTTGCTCCTCTAATGTAATCCATAAAAAATATTTTAGTTATTTAAAAATCACATTACAGTATTATAACATGTATTTAATTTTCCAATATAAATGAATAACTTTAAATAGTTCATTTTTAAATATTTAAATCAAATATGAATTGTTTGCTAGGTATTAAAAATTAAAATTACTAATTAATATTAAAAGATATTATTCTGTATTTTTGGACAAATATGTTAAACAGTAAATTTAAATAAAAAGAGACAAGTCCCCTTTCTTTATTTTTTAAATTATTATTTCCAGACTATAGAAAGAAAGATTGCAGTTAGAGATTCATTCATTTACATTATTGAATTTTTTTTAATTTTTGTGTTTTTAACTAATAATATTAGAAGGTACAAAATTAAAAATCTGTATATTTAATAATTTGGTGAATATTAGTCATTTTTAAAAATAATTTAACATATTTTAGACATAGAATTTGCGATTATGCTCAACATTTTTTTTATTGAAGAGCTTGTTATGTATTCAATGGAAACATTTAAAATATGTTGAGTTTATACTCAAGTAGAGCACATTAATGTAATGAATAATTTTTAGAATAAAGTAACTTTTTAAATAAAATATTATGTCGATAATTTGACAGTAGTTTGGGAAGGAAGGTTAATGCTTATAAACCCAACCATAACATAAAATTTTCTTTTTATTGTTATAAAATATTTAAATACTCAGTCAAATTGTTTTACAAAAATTAGGTAAATTTGTTGACAGTCGGCAGCACTTACTGATGACTGCTGACTGAAAGTATAATACTGCCAAATAAGGTATGAGACACCCCTCATGATCCTTCTTCAAATCGTTCCTGATGGTGAAAAAAGAAAGAATTTTTTGATAATTTTATGCAAAAATTTTATAGATTATGTGACGAACAGCTTTCTAATCAATCACATTATGATTTTGGATTACGAGCATTAAAATCAGTTTTAGTATCAGCAGGTAATGTTAAAAGAGATCGCATACAACATATCAAAGGTATCAGTGCAACAACTGAAAGACATAGTTTAAATGAAGCAGAAATTGCTGAAAACTTACCTGAGCAAGAAGTAATTAGATTTTATATTTTTAGTTGAACTAATAAATAGAATTTTTAGAATTAAAAATTAAAAATTGAGTATAATTTTAGATCTTAATTCAATCTGTTTGTGAAACTATGGTGCCTAAACTGGTAGCAGAAGATATTCCATTGTTATTTTCATTATTGAATGATGTGTTCCCTCAAGTTCAATATAAACGGGCTCAGATGACAGGTATAATATATTATCCCTTAAATATAGAATTTTAAACTGTTTTGTGTAATAGTATATAAATGTAAATTTTAACATGAATATTGATATAATATATATTATATTTTAATACATTATTACATAAATTTTATAATTCATTTTTAAATTTTATTTACAAAGTATTTTATTTTTCTAGTATTAAAAGAACAAATAAGAAAAGTATGCCAAGAAGAATATTTTGTGTGTGGAGAGGACGATGAACCTGGAGGTCCTTGGATGGAAAAGGTAAATTAGTATATAATATTTATAATATATCTTTAATGTATTTTAAAATGATTAATTATAAAATTTGTGTATTAATTCAAAATTATATTTTTATTTTTTTAAATGCTCACATAGGTTTATGAGGGGGAGACATGGCTACAAAAGGTATTTAAATATTTGTAGCATATGATCATGGCATGGTTCTTTAAATTTTATGTACTATTTGAAATAGTTTTTTTCTTTTTATATTGTAGTAGTTAATGATAGAAAATAGAATTATGTTATTGTTCTGTAAAAAAAAATTTATAAATATATATTTTTTTATTTTGATGCATGATATTTGAATAAAACCTTTTAATAAATTTGAGCATTTATTATGTAAATTAAGTAATTAGTATATATATATATATATATCTTATTTATTTATACTTCTCATTATTTTATAATACAGCATGTTCAATATGGTAATATTACCATTTATGTATATGATTCAAAATAATATTTTTAACCAGTATTTAATTAACATAATTAAATAATATTTATATATAATATGTAATATAGGTACTGCAACTATATCAGATATGTGAGTTAAATCATGGTTTAATGATGGTTGGTCCTAGCGGATCTGGTAAATCTAGTGCTTGGAAAGTACTATTGAAAGCTCTGGAAAGAATGGATGGAATGGAAGGTCAAGCTCATGTGATAGATCCTAAAGCTATATCCAAAGAAGCATTATATGGAGCTTTAGATCCTAATACTAGAGAATGGACTGATGGTTTGTTTACTCACATATTAAGGTAATTATCAGCTTAATTGTATATTACTATTAGGTCTACCACCAAAAGCTCATTAATTTTACATTGTTATAATTATTTGTTTGTAAACACAAATTACCTGACAGCATTTCAGAAATATTTATAATTAAAATGTTACTTTAAAACTGTAAATATTAATAATGTGTAATAAGTAGTGTTAGGCATTTTTGAATATTTTTTATTTAACATTATGATATTTTCTTAAAATAAACTAAAAAATATTCAAAAAACTGTTGAATGTCAAAAAAAACTTCATAAAGAACTAGTTTGAATAGTTATAAAATGACTGTTGAATAGTTCGATATTACTATTTGATATTTCCCATCACTAGTTATAAGCTACTTATGCAAAAATATGGACTTTAAATTTCTGTGTTTAAAACCTTAATTTGTAAATAAAAAAATATTTATCTTTTTATAGAAAAATTGTTGATAATGTACGAGGTGAAATAAATAAGAGGCAATGGATTATTTTTGATGGTGATGTTGACCCAGAATGGGTGGAAAACTTGAATTCTGTTTTGGATGATAATAAACTTTTAACTTTACCAAATGGGGAACGTTTATCACTCCCTCCTAATGTCAGGATAATGTTTGAGGTATGTTATTTTATTATTTCCTTATATTACATAATTTCATTTTATTTTCATTAAAAATTATAAAAGCATTTTATTTTTCAAATTAATTATTCTAAACTTAATATTTAAAAATACTGATATACATACTATTAAAACACGTAATATAGATTTTTTTTTATGTATTATTATATACTGTAATATAAATAATAATAAGTACTATTGTATTGTAATTTTATATGTATTTATGAAAATTTATTTTTTTGAATAAGTAAATATCATATTGACTTTAAATAGGTTCAAGATTTAAAATATGCTACTCTTGCTACAGTATCACGCTGTGGTATGATATGGTTTAGTGAAGATGTTTTGACTACTGAAATGATTTTTGAAAACTATTTAATGCGTTTGAAAAACATACCTATTGATGAAGGCGATGAAGATTCAATATCCCTTATACCACAACCTGTTTCTGTTAATTCTGGATCAGTTAATGATCAATTTATTTCTCCATCCTTACAGGTAAATAATGTATACAGAATGTCCCACATACTTTTCTTATGGCAATTTGTCAAAACATTGTAGAACACTCTATTTAGTTAAATTTATTTGTTAAAATATAGTAAAATATAATCATTTAAATTTAATATTTTAAAATAAAATTGTTTTACCCTATTTTTTTTTTCTTTGCTAGCTTCAATTAGATATTGTTGCAATGCTACAACCACATTTATTATCAGATGGTTTAGTAGTACGTTGTTTAGAGTATGCAATGAAACAAGAACACATTATGGACTTCACACGACTTAGAGCTCTTGGATCTCTGTTTTCTATGATAAACCAAAGTATTAGGTAAGTAAATCCTTTTTATTTTATTAAATATAATGAAGTACTCATGTTAATTATTTATTTTTAGAAATGTACTTCAATACAATAGAACTCATTCAGATTTTCCTTTATCTCAAGATCAATTGGAACAATACATTCCAAAATGTTTAGTATATGCAATTTTGTGGAGTTTTGCTGGTGATGCAAAATTAAAAGTTCGTTCTGATATAGGAGAGTTTATAAGATCTGTTACAACAGTGTCATTACCACCCATGACTGAAAATATTATTGACTACGAAGTAAGTTTTTAATTGAAAAATAACTTTATTAGATTTCTAGAAAAGTTAGTAAATTTACTCTCATTAATTAATTTTATTAATAAATATAATACAATTAAAATATAAATTTGTTAATAGATTAATGTTCATGGTGATTGGATACCTTGGTCTAGTAGAGTTCCTCAAGTTGAAGTAGAAACACATAAAGTTGCATCACCTGATGTTGTTGTACCTACTTTGGATACTGTTCGCCATGAAACATTATTATATACTTGGCTGGCTGAACATAAACCTTTAGGTAGTTAAAAAAAAATGTATTATTTATTACAATAATTGTAATTATAAATAAAATTACCTTATCTATGTATTTATATATAAATGTATTACTTAATAGTTTTGTGTGGTCCACCTGGTTCCGGTAAAACTATGACTCTATTTTCGGCTTTGAGGGCTTTACCAGACATGGAAGTTGTAGGACTAAACTTTTCATCTGCAACAACACCTGAACTTCTTTTAAAAACTTTTGATCATTATTGTGAATATCGTAAAACACCAAATGGAATTTTTTTATCACCTATTCAGGTATATAATTCTTATTATACATTTATAATATTTAAAAAACAAATTACTGTAATAAATATAATTTTTCTAGCTTGGTAAATGGCTTGTTTTATTTTGTGATGAAATTAATTTGCCAGATATGGATAATTATGGTACTCAAAGAGTAATATCATTTTTACGCCAATTAGTAGAACGGCGTGGATTTTACAAGTAATATAAAATAATTTTACCTAAAATATACTTTTAACTCATAAAGTTGGTTTAATACTTTAATACAAGTTAAAATTAATAGCTTTAGTTCAATATTAAACTAGTTTTTAATTTTTAGGCCTACTGGTGATCAAGCCTGGGTATCCTTAGAAAGAATTCAATTTGTTGGTGCTTGTAATCCTCCAACAGACCCAGGTAGAAAACCACTATCACATAGATTTTTACGTCATGTTCCTGTTATCTATGTTGACTATCCCGGAGAAACATCTTTAAAACAAGTTAATAAATTAATAAAAATACATTTTTTTCTATTTTTACAAATATTTATAAAATAATTTGAAAACATTTAGATTTATGGAACATTTAGTAGAGCTATGTTGCGTTTGATTCCTACATTACGAGGATACGCAGAGCCTCTTACAAATGCTATGGTAGAATTTTATTTAGCTTCTCAAGATCGTTTCACTCAAGATATGCAACCACACTATGTTTATTCTCCAAGAGAAATGACTAGATGGGTCAGAGGAATTTGTGAAGCTATTAGACCTTTAGAAACTTTAAGTGTTGATGGTTTAGTAAGGCTGTGGGCACATGAAGCACTGCGTTTGTTCCAAGATCGTTTAGTAGATGATTCTGAGCGTCAATGGACTAATGAAAATATTGATATTGTTGCAATGAAACATTTCCCAGGAATTAATAGAGAAGAAGCACTTCAGAGACCTATTTTGTACAGTAATTGGTTACATAAAGATTATGTACCAGTCAAAAGAAAACAACTGCGTGACTATGTTGCTGCAAGATTAAAGGTAGCTAATAATATTAGTTCTTATAATGCCAATTCTTAATTTATTTTTAAAAAAATATTAGGTATATTGTAAGAATTTATCACTTGTGGCTAGTATTATTTAAAATTAAAAGTATATTAACAATATAAATTTAAATAATAATGATTATTACAATATAATAATATATATTATTAGGTATTCTATGAAGAAGAGTTAGATGTCAAAATAGTTCTCTTTGATGAAGTATTAGACCATGTACTTAGAATTGATAGAATATTTAGACAACCTCAAGGTCATTTATTATTAATTGGTGTATCAGGAGCTGGAAAAACAACACTTTCACGTTTTGTAGCATTTATGAATGGTCTCTCAGTATTTCAAATTAGAGTAAGTTAATATATAAATTAATTAAATATAAAATAAAAGTTAGTTAACATTTTAAACATTTTTTTTTTGCATCATAGCTAAAAAAAAGATTTATTTTTAAGTATTATTCTAAAATAATTATTAAAATTAGTTTATAAAATGAGTTAAAATAAGTTATAAACATATTGTAATAATTACTAATTTAGGCTTCACATAATTGGGGACTCACCCCAGATCCAGAACCTCTTGGTAGCACATTGATTTCTAGGGATTACCCGGGTACGTCGATTATAATAAGTGTTTGAATAGCAAAAATATGAATGTAAAATAAACATACAGACGAATAATAATTGCAGTTGTCATTTAAAGACAACAATAAGATATCTTGATGGAAAAATATTGGTAGATAAATAAATCTTTCAATTAAAAAAGAAAACATATCCACTCCTTTAAATTTTTTAGGAGAGACTGAATATCTTATGTTAAATTATAATGAATATTTCAAATTTCATGTTTCAAACTCAAATCAATGACTAACATTTTTCATTTAATTTAGAAGAATAATTATTGATAATATATCTTCAATTAATAAATGTAATTCATGGACTATTCCTTTTTGTAGAAAATATTATAAAATGTTTTTAAATTTTATTAGTATTCATAATTTTAGTACATGTAACTATTCTGTAATTTTTAAATTAAACTAGATAATCTGAAAATAATTATTATTATATACTCAAATATTCATTAATTTCTAGGTTATATATATATATATATATATATATTTAACTACTTTATTTATTTAATAAAAATTAGTAATAAAATATAAAAAATAGTAATCTTTTCAACAAAGCTTAGTTAGCTTAAACAAGTTAATAAATTATATATATATATATATATATATATATTGTAACATTTCAGCCTACTAGAATATTAAATACTAAATTAATAATAATTAGTTATTCTTTAGTATTCAGTTTTTTTTAAAAAGATAGCAAACTTATCCATTGTCAAATAATACAATTGTTACTCCTGATTCAATTGAAAAAATTGTTATTATTCAAAAATAATTTCTAATTTTTAATCAAATACATTCGATTATCAGGTTCATAATAAATATACAAGTGAAGATTTTGATGAAGATTTAAGAGCCGTACTCAGAAGGTCTGGTTGTAAAAATGAAAAAATTACATTCATTCTTGATGAATCAAATGTGCTTGAATCTGGTTTTCTTGAACGTATGAATACATTGTTGGCTAATGGTGAAGTTCCTGGTTTATTTGAAGGTAATTTAATATTTTAAAAAATAAAGGGCTCTGTGCAAAAACAAGTTAACTTCATTTTTCAAAATTGTTAAGGAAGCTAAAAAACTAGATACATTTTTAATATATCCGTAACTATCTGAAAATATATAAAGAAAGATATATTTTTCATGTTATTATATTAACTTTTTTTGAATAGAAGTATTCATTTTTTAATCTTAATTTAAAATCATCAAAATATGATTTTAGAAAAAAATGGAGTTATCATGTTTTTGCACAGATCTCTTCAAATAATTTTTTTTTTACATTATTAATGTTATAGATTTAGAAAAGTATCAATATAAGTATGACCTTTATTTATATCTGTTTTTAATAATATAATGAATAAATTATTTTTTCAAAATTTCAAAATAGCCAATTTTTTAGCTCTTTTCTTTTAAAAATTATGATGGGTCGATAATAACTTTCGGATAAATACTTATTGAGTTAGAAGAATTTTAATACATAGAGTAAGTATATAGCATGTGTAGAATTCAATTACATAGTATAAGCTGTACCAATCCACACTACCACCTTGATCAAAAAGTTCCCGGAATTTATTCAGAAAATTAAAAATACAAGTTTATTCATCTAAATCTATATTGTCCCCTTCAAAGTAATCCCCATCGACTGCAACACACTTATGCCAGCGCTTGATCCAATCCTCGAAACATTTTTTATACTCGGTTTTTGGTATGTCCATCAGTGCTTCCTGCGATTTTTCCATTACTTCCTCTCGGCTGCTGAAACGCGTTCCCCGTAATGGTTTTTTAACTCGATTGAATAGAAAGAAGTCACAGGGAGCCAAATCAGGTGAATTCGGTGGCTGTTGGATAGTATTTGTTGCATTTTTCGTCAAAAAATTACGAATAATGATGGCACTATGTGACGGTGCGTTATCATGATGCAAAATCCACGAGTTTTCTGCCCACAATTCTGGTCTCTTTCGGCGAATTGCTTCACGCAAACGTCTCATAACGCCCAAATAATATTCTTTGTTTACTGTCTGGTCTTTTGGCAAAAATTCATGATGTACTATACCGTTGTAATCCATGAAAACCGTAAGCATAGCCTTCTTTTTTGACTGAAAACGACGTGGTTTTTTTGGTCTCGGCTCATTTGGTGAACGCCATTCACTTGCCTGATGTCTTGATTGTGTGTCATACTCATAAACCCACGTCTCGTCTCCAGTAATGATCCTTTTGATGAATGTGGGATCGGATTCAGCCTCGCAAATCATGTCTTTTGCGACGTCAACACGGTCTCTTTTTTGCATGAAATTGAGGTCTTTTGGCACCAACTTTGCTGCTACACGACGGAAACTCAAATCATTAACCAAAATGTCTTGGACGGATCCATAGGCAATGCTCAAGTCCTCCGCTATTTCTCTGATGGTTAATTTGCGGTTATTGACCAACATTTCTTTTACTTTTTCAGTGTTTTCGTCGGTTTTCGATGTCGATGGTCTGCCGCTGCGTTCATCATCTATGATTGATTCACGACCACTTTTAAACCGCTCGTGCCACTGATAAACGACTGTTTTCTTTAGAGAATCTTTGCCAAAACACTTTTCCAACATTTCCAACGTACGCGCACCATTAAATCCGTTTTTTACACAAAATTTAATACAAGTTCGTTGTTGCAAATTTAAATCCATTTCTAAAATTGTAAAAAATCGCCAACACACAAAGAGATAGATGTACTCTTGGCTACGTAACTTTTGCAAATGTCAAGCTATGGCGCTAAAATTTAGAGGGAATATTAACAACAGATGTACCAACTTAATGAAAAAAACAGAACTCAAATTGAAACAATGGAAACGCCAAACGATGATTATTCCGGGAACTTTTTGATCAAGGTGGTATATACCTGCTCTATATATTAAAAATTTGTGAAAAAAAAAGTGTTAAAAACTGGCTATTTTTTAAATGTTTCTATTAATTTTTTTTTATTAAAAACAAATAATAACAAATATGATTTTAAACCTAAAAATGCATAAATTATTTAAAAAAAAAAATGATGAAATTTATCAAAAGTTATATGAGTTGTCAGTTAGATCTGTTACATTCAATGTATGTAGTTTTTTTAATTTAATTTATTTATATTTTTAGGAGATGAATTTACAACACTCATGACTCAATGTAAGGAAGGAAGTCAACGAGAAGGTCTTATGTTAGATTCTAATGAAGAGTTGTATAAATGGTTTACTGGTCAAGTAATGAGAAATTTACATGTGGTATTTACAATGAATCCTAGCTCAGAAGGATTAAAAGATAGAGCAGCAACTTCTCCTGCTCTTTTTAACAGATGCGTACTTAATTGGTTTGGAGACTGGTCTGATACAGCACTTTTCCAAGTATACAATTTTCAAAGACTCAATATATATATATATATATATATATATATATATGTGTGTGTGTGTGTAATTTTTTGTATTAAATATTATTTATTAGGTTGGACAAGAATTTACAAGGTCAGTTGATCTAGATGGTCCACCTATGTGGAAAGCTCCTGATTTCTTCCCGTCAGCATGTTCTTTAGTACCAAGTGTTCCAGATTATCGCACTGCTGTTGTCAATGCTTTTGTTTATGTTCATCAAACATTACATAAAGCTAATACTAGATTAGTAAAAAGAGGTTCAAGAACAATGGCAATCACTCCTAGGCATTACTTAGATTTCATTAATCATTTTGTTAAACTACATAAAGAAAAGAGAGCAGAACTTGAAGAACAACAACTTCATTTGAATGTGGGTTTATCAAAAATTGCTGAAACTGTTGAACAAGTAGAAGAAATGCAAAAATCTTTAGCTGTGAAATCAATAGAGCTTAATACCAAAAATGAAGCTGCTAATGCTAAATTGCAACAAATGTTTAAAGAACAACATGAAGCTGAAAAAAGAAAAGTACAATCTCAGGAAATACAAGAACAAATTAAAGCTCAACAAGTGTTGATTGCTGAAAAAAGAAAAGATGTAATGGCTGATCTAGCTCATGTTGAACCTGCTGTTTTAGATGCTCAACAAGGTTAATATTATTTAATAAATACTTAAATTATAAAAAAAAAAAAATACTGATTTTTTTTAGCTGTCAAGGAAATCAAGAAGCAGCAGTTAGTAGAAGTACGATCAATGGCTAACCCTCCAGCAGTTGTAAAGTTGGCATTGGAGTCCATTTGTTTGCTTCTTGGAGAAAATGCATCAGATTGGAAAGCAATTAGGGCTGTAGTTATGAGAGAAAATTTCATTAACTCTATTGTTTCTAATTTCAGCACAGAAAATATTTCGTGAGTCATTTTTTTTATTTAATTAACAGTATATTAAAAACTATTCTAATTTATTTTTAATTGTAGTGATGATGTACGAGAGAAAATGCATAGTAAATATCTGAATAATCCAGACTATACATTTGAAAAAGTTAATCGAGCTAGCATGGCTTGTGGACCTATGGTTAAATGGGCAATAGCACAGGTATTATTATAAGTTTAAAAGTAATGTTATTATTCATATAAACATTTAAAACAATATAATTAAAATTATAATTTTAAAAATGTTTATAGGTCAGTTATGCTGATGTTCTTAAAAGAGTTGAACCATTAAGAGATGAATTGAAATCACTTGAAAATCAGGCATCAGAAAATAAAGTTAAAAATGAAGAAACTACAGCACTTATTGCTCAGTTAGAGCAAACAATTACTGAGTATCAGGAAGAATATGCTCAACTAATTTCACAAGCTCAAGCAATTAAATCCGACCTAGAAAATGTTCAAAGCAAAGTAAGTTTTTTTTATTTTTGTTAAAAAAAAAAACTTGTATTTATCATATTATATTTAGGTTGATCGTTCAATTGCTCTACTGAAATCATTGGTTATAGAAAGGGAAAGATGGGAAAGTACAAGAGATACTTTTAGATCACAAATGGCTACAATTATTGGTGATGTTTTATTATCATCAGCATACTTAGCATATGCTGGATATTTTGATCAACATGTATGTTAAATAGTTATTATTACTAATTTTAATTTTTGTTATTTTAATAGTAATTTGTAAATATTTTTTATAGTATCGTCAAAATTTGTTTACAACATGGTGTCAACATCTGTATTTAGCTGGAATTCAATACAGATCTGATATAGCACTAACTGAATATTTATCAAATCCTGATGAAAGACTTCGTTGGCATGCTAACTCATTGCCCACTGATGATTTATGTACAGAGAATGCTATTATGTTAAAGGTTCAATTAATATTAAAAATGTTTTATTTGATTTACTTGACTAATTTTTTTATTAATGTGCAGAGGTACAACCGATACCCATTGATTATTGATCCATCAGGGCAAGCTACTGAATTTATATTAAAAGAGTATGCTGATGCAAAAATCACAAAAACTAGTTTCTTGGATGATTCATTTAGAAAGAATTTAGAGTCTGCTCTTCGGTTTGGAAATCCTTTGCTAGTTCAAGTTAGTATTGAGTGAATTAAAATGTCATTTAAAAGAAAAATAAATTTTTTTAATTATGTAGTTTTAATTTTGTACTTATTACTGCTTTCATTATTTGTATACATTACATCTAATTAAACAAATTTAAATTTGTAGGATGTTGAAAACTATGATCCAATATTAAATCCTGTATTGAATAGGGAGTTACGTCGTACAGGTGGACGTGTATTAATTACACTTGGAGATCAAGATATAGATCTGTCACCAAAATTTGTGATATTCTTATCAACCCGTGATCCTACTGTAGAATTTTCTCCTGACATTTGTTCTAGAGTAATGTTTGTCAATTTTACTGTGACTAGATCATCATTACAGAGTCAATGCTTAGATCGTGTATTAAAAGCAGAACGCCCTGATATTGATACAAAACGTTCAGACTTACTTAAACTCCAAGGTATGTTATAAAAAATATATACAATTAAACTGTTTTTTCTATGATAATGGTTTTATATTTCTATAATTAAAATTTTTTTGTAATTAGGCGAGTTCCATTTAAGATTGAGGCAATTAGAAAAGTCACTTTTACAAGCATTAAATGAAGCTAAAGGCAAAATTTTGGATAATGATTCTGTAATTACAACATTAGAGAGGTTAAAACAAGAAGCAGCTGATATTAGCAAAAAAGTTGAAGAAACTGATAAAGTTATTGCTGAAATTGAAACAGTTTCTCAGCAGTATAAACCTTTAGCTCAAGCATGTAGTAATATGTACTTTACCATGGATAGTTTAAACCAAGTTCATTTCCTTTACCAATATTCATTGAAATTCTTTTTGGAAATATTTAGCTCAGTGCTTTTGTCTAATCCTAGATTAGCATCTGTTACTGACCACACATCTCGATTAGACATTGTTACTAAAGATCTATTTTCGGTAAAACATTCATAAAAATAATTTTTCAAAAATACTTAAATTGTAAATTACAATTTATAGGTTTGTTATGAAAGAGTAGCTCGAGGAATGTTACATAATGATAGATTAACATTTGCCATATTATTATGTCGAATATGTTTAAAGGGAACTGCAATTGGTAATACATTAGATGCTGAATTTCAATTTTTCCTTCGTGGAAAAGAAGGAGTGTTGAGTTCTAATAATACATCAGGCCAAGGTTCACTTAGTAGTTTGAATCAAGAACAAATTGAAGCTATGATGAGACTATCACATCGAATACCAGCTTTCAAAAATTTGCAAGAACGCGTTGAAGAAATGCCAGAATTTGGTCCATGGCTAGCACAAAATACCCCAGAACAGTGTGTACCTAAATTATGGGATGAACAAACTCCAATTAGTCCTGTAGCAACAGCAATGTACCAACTTCTAGCTATTCAAGTATAAAATAAATTTAAAAGTTTTAGAAATTATTAGTATATTTTCTGTAAATTGATAATTTTCAATTTAAATTTTAGGCATTTAGACCAGACAGAGTTGTTGCTTCTGCTTACATATTTGTTGAGGCAACATTTGGTGCACATCTAATATCTTCAGCAGAGCGCGAGCCAGATTTGTCAACTATAGTAATGAATGAGTTAGATTGTAGTGTGCCAGCACTATTATGTTCAGTTTCAGGATATGATGCTTCTGGTCGAGTTGATGATCTTGCTGCTCAAAATAATCAATTGCTATCATCAGTAGCTATTGGTTCAGCTGAAGGATTCCGTCAAGCCACTGATGCTATTAACTCAGCTGTGCGTCTAGGACGGTAAATAAAATAAAATCTGCAATATTTCAAAGAAAATATTTATATTTTATATTATTTTTAATTATTGTAATTTATTAGATGGGTTTTGCTAAAAAATGTTCATTTAGCTCCTCAATGGTTAGTGCAGTTAGAAAAAAAATTGCACAGTTTACAACCACATTCTAACTTCAGACTGTTTCTTACAATGGAAATAAATCCTGGTGTGCCTGTTAATTTATTAAGAGCTGGTCGCATTTTTGTATTTGAACCTCCACCTGGAGTTAAAGCCAATTTGATACGTACATTTAACACTGTAAGTGCTTCATATAAAAAAATATATATTTATACTTAACATTGTCTCTTAAAAACTATTGCATGCGCTGGAGAGGACAGAAAAATCTACGTAGCTCAGTACAATGGAATGTAACTCTGGTACCTAGGATTTGAGCTATTGACTGAGCTAGGTAGGATTTCTAGATACATTTACTAGATTTACTGAACTTAGATTCACTTTAGATTCCTGCATCTCGTATGATGAAAGTACCCAATGAAAGAGCTAGACTATACTTTTTACTTGCTTGGTTCCATGCTATTGTTCAAGAGCGTTTACGTTACACCCCACTTGGTTGGGCCAAACACTATGAATTTAATGAATCAGATTTAAGAGTTGCTTGTGACACTTTAGATACTTGGATAGAAACAACAGCTAAAGTATGTTATTAACTTATTTATGAGTATTGGAATTAATAATCTGTATTATTAATTAATTGTAGAGTCGAACAAATTTGCCCCCTGAAAAAATTCCATGGGATGCATTAGTTACTTTATTGTCTCAATGTATTTACGGTGGCAAAATTGATAATGATTATGATCAAAGACTCTTAGCATCATTTTTAAGCAAATTATTTACGCCACGTAGTTTTGAAGCTGGTTTCGCATTAGTTGGTAATGTTGATGGCGTTGGGGGTGATAGCAACAGGTTAACATTTTTGTAATTTTTGTATTACGTTTTTATTTTAAAATTTTTCATATTTTTTTCAGGCAAATTACAATGCCTAATGGATCACGGCGAGATCACTTTTTGTATTGGATTGAAAATTTATCAGATAGACAATCACCTTCGTGGTTAGGATTACCTAATAATGCTGAAAAAGTATTATTAACTACTAGAGGTATATTATTTAAAATTTAATCAGTTTTTGGTTTTAATTAATTGAAAAATGCATGTTATAAGGTACTGATTTGGTAAGTAAATTGCTTAAAATGCAACAACTTGAAGATGAAGATGAACTTGCTTATGTTACTGATCAAGTATCAAAAGATGGTGGACCAGATTCCAACATAGGATTACCTTCTTCTGATGGACGTCCTGCTTGGATGAGAACGTTGCATAATTCTGCAACAACATGGCTTCAATTATTGCCTCAATCTCTTCAGATTTTAAAGCGTACAGTTGAAAATATTAAAGATCCTCTTTATCGTTACTTTGAACGAGAAGTTAATTTTGGCTCAAAGTTGTTGCAAGAAGTTATTCATGATTTAAATGAAGTAGTTGCAATTTGTCAAGTATGTATTAATATTTGTTTGTTATATTAGAGGTAATTATTAAATTATTTAAATCTAAAATTTTTAAATAATTTAGGGAGATAAAAAACAAACAAATTATCATAGAACTTTATTGAGTGATCTAGTTAAAGGAAAATTACCAGCAGGTTGGCGTAGGTATACTGTACCTAGTGGTTGTACTGTAATTCAGTGGGTATCTGATTTTAGTCAGCGTGTAAAACAATTACAACAAGTATCACAACTTGTCTCTCAGCGTGGTGCAAATCAAATCAAAGTAACTTTTTAATATTAAAATAAATGTTTTATTATTATTTATTATTTTTTTCTCTAGTCTTTTCCAGTTTGGCTTGGAGGTCTTTTAAATCCAGAGGCCTATATTACTGCTACTAGGCAGTGTATTGCTCAAGCTAATTCATGGTCTCTTGAGGAATTAATTTTAGATGTTACAATTACTGATTCATTTGAATTTAATTCTGATAAACAGGATGAATGTAGCTTTGGAGTTATTGGTAATTTTTTTTTTAAATAATGTTTAACTACTTAGAAAATTAGTTGAATAACAAATAATAATTTTAATAAAACAAAATATCTTATGTTTAGGTTTAAAATTACAAGGTGCCCAATGTCGTAATAATCAGTTATTGTTAACCTCATCTATAATGACAGATTTACCAGTAACACTGCTGCGATGGACACAGTAAAAAATATATAAATTAATTCTATAAAAATCTTGCATAATAAATTTATTTTATTTTCTAGTATTTCTACTGAAGAACATTCAAGACCTGATAAATTGTCCTTACCTGTCTACTTGAACTCTACACGTTCAGAATTATTATTCACTGTTGAATTGGATGTAGCCCCTGGACAAGATCATCATACATTTTATGAAAGGGGTGTTGCTTTATTAACGTCTACAGCTTTAAATTAGTTATAAAATTAAAATATTTTTTATCATACCATTTTTAATACAGTAATCTTTATTATGTCACGGCCCCAAAATAAGGTGCCATTTTATTTTAGTATTTGTAATGTTCCAAACAAAACTTTTTTAACTACTGTGAATACATTTTATTTATTCATCAATTAATTATAAATTATTAAATGTCTAATTTTATCATACTAATTAATCAATTTTTATAACTAAGTTATTTATTTTTCTAATTAGACAATATTTTTTCATATTTAAAATATTGTTGTACATTTTTTTGTACTTGGTTAGAATTTCTCTTTATAAAATTTAGTTATATTAAGTCAATGTTCTGTTATTGTCCCTAGAAAATAATTATGCAAGTTACTTATTTTAATTTATTTCCGTGTTTTTATTGCTGAAAATGTTTTATTTATTACTATTTTTTTGAATGTAAATATAATATCGTTAAGAGCTTTTAATAAAAATAATATTACTAATTTTAATTATTGTTTATTTTTTAAATATTCTTAACTTAAATCTTATTTTTTGAATATTTCAAATTAACGATTGATTATTCATTATATACTGTTCATGTCTTTGCTATTCTATATGCATTAAATGATGTAACATCTGCTAAATGTTCAAGATTCGTTTGCAAAGTATATGGCATTTTACTAATAAAAACAGCAACTTGATCACCACTGTTGACTTCAACCAATATTGTGACTGACCCTCCTCCATTAGATGTAGATATTATAGGTACCCATTGTTTAGCATTAAAAGATCTTTTTTGTAATATCATTCTAGAATCATTTCAAATTATAAATGTAATAAACCATGAAATTATTAAAATAGGTTATTACCTAACGTTATTTTCAGTATATGCCGAAAATGAAAATTGGTACAAACCAGCACAAGCTACAGTAAATACTCCTAATTCTTTATCCCATGATGATGATAAATTAACCAAACCATGTTTGTAAGTCACAATTCCAGTTGGAAGAACTGCACCACTACCAGAAGCTGAGAATGCAATAAGTCCAGTACAATCTGTATTCGTTTGTTTTGCTAAGTTTCGAGGTGGCAATGGTTCTACAGCAAAAGTAACTGGAAATAACAATAGTAAACACACCCAAAATAATTGCGAGTCATTTATCATGTTTAAAAATTGATGTTTTAAAAGAAAATATGTACAGGTGTGTTTTAACACGAGTTTTTCAAGGACATCCAATGTAATAGATTCAGTCAATAAAAACAATGTTCATTAGAATAAACTACTCATATTTCAAGCATATGTATAACAAATTGTGACCTACAGCCTTTGTACTGTAGTACGATGATAAAACTGATTGAAACCAATATTTTACTAAATCTAAAAATCCAAATTTTTTATACTAAGTGCCATTTGCATTAATTTGTTTTTTTATATTGCGTGGTAAATTTGTTGTAATTTTAGTTCGTTATTCTTTTATGTAAATATTCATGCTTGCCACTAATCTGTGGAAAGTCAGGGAATTTTTGTGATTATTATTATATTAAAAAGAAACATATACGTCTATCTTATATTTCACCTAGTAATCGTATTAAAGGAAAACATTTTTTTTTTTTTATTTATATAATAAGAAATAATTGTTTGGTTTTTTGTGTGAAAATCGTACTTGGTGTACAGATGTCATTGCTTTCAAAAAATAGGATTGTTCATCTTTCCCCTATATATTCTGAAATCTTCATTTTCTAAATTAACTATACTAATAATAATAATGATGATTTAGTCAATCCTCTTCATAAAGTATGTATATCTACGATCTATATCGCCATTTGGACAATTTGAATAAAATGTTTAGGAAATCTAACTTAATTTCTCCCGCCTTAAAAATATTGCTATATAAATTGACATGTAATTTTTATCTTTTGTATGAGACCTAAGCATCCCTTAACCCCCTAAAATTGAGCCTATGCGTATCAAAATTATTTAAAAATTGTTTGGGAAAACATGGAAAAGACAGGAATTAAAAAATTTATTTTTCAACAACTTAAAAATATATAATTGATGAATTAAGAAAAATACACAATTTTTACTTAAATTGTATATAAAATATTTCTGTTATATGTAGCAAATATGATTTTATAAGTATGATTTTTATTCACACAGCATTCGGTCATAATATAATATAACAGAATACTGTAAGCACAATAATGATTTCAATTTCAATAGATGCTTAGTTCATTTGATTTTTAACGAACCTAACTATCGTTTACATGTACATGTAAGTAGGTAATTACTTAAAGGATAGTTGTAAACAATGTACTTTATCTGTAAATTATAATTTTTTTTATTTACAATGCATTGTATAATTGTATAGTTTTTGCTTCGGTAAATTAATTATAAATTATTTCTGGTATAACTAATACATTAATGATGTGTTTAACGATTCATAAAAACATTTGCAAACATACAGATAAAATATGTTTTTGAAAATGTATTAGGTAACAAGATGGTAGTTTATTGCTTAGAAATCATCATGGTATGGATAATTATTAAACTAATTACTAATTATAAGTAGTGTTTCGGTTAAATAATAAAAAGTAATGTATTTTTTTTTTAAATAATTTTTTATTTAAATGACTGAATGTTTTTCTGGAAACTTATTCAATGTTATGCATACACAATAAGTAGTATTTTTATTTTATTATACTCAGAAAACCAGCTAAACACTGTAACTTAACAAATCAACAGCTTAACAATTAATAAAATTTGTGATAAAATTATAAGCGTTTTCTTAAATATATTAAATATAAATTAATAATTCATTAATTAAATTAAATTTTATTCATAATATTTCTTAAACTTCACTAAATATATAAATTATTAAATCATAACAAAATAGTTTATTAATATTCCGAACGGAACGAGGAAATGTTTTTTTTATGGACTCAGGACAACCACATTCTATTATTCCAATCCTGGTTTTTATGTATAATTTCTGATGTTATTATTTCAATGTAATTTGAATAAAATTAAAATAATTTGTAATAACACATTAGTCTTATACTCCTTTTTGACCTACACCTCTGGTTAAAGTGTTAAGTTACTTTTGATAAAAATAATATTGTAGTAAAATAGTATTATTATTGTACATATAGAATAAATTAATTCTCAGGAAAATAGTCACAAAACTGATAATCATTCTAAAATTTAAGCAAAAGGAGATACCTTTGAAAATATAATAAATGTAAATACACTTGAAAAGCATACAAAAAGTCGCCAAAATTTTGCTATTTATATACTAATTTTATTTAAAACAGATAATGAGAAGTTCATAGTAATACTGAAGAAAGAAGATTATTTTGATAGTGTATCAAAAATGATTTAAGATCCCTTTAAAGAAATTAAAAAGAATCCATTAATTAAAATGATAAGGGAGGCTACAAACGTTATCAATACTTAAAAATTAATAATTGAAGAAAAGTTCAGGTTTTTTATTAAAATTTCAAACCTAAACGATATGCTTTGTTGAAAATACATAAGCCGGGAAATAATATGATACCTATTGTTTCGAATATTAATGCTCCAACTTAAATTTTAACCCTTAGTAAGGGTATTTTCATCTATTCAAAAATTCAATAGCTTTTCAATTAAAAATAATATTGACTTAGTATAAAAATTACCTGGTTATATTATTTAAAATAATGATAGGTTAATTTTTTTGACGTAGTAGCGTTATTTCAGAGTATTCCATAAATATAACAATTCGATTTCTTAAAGACTGGCTAAAGGAACGAAATATAGAACAAGATAAAATAAATGAGTTTAATAATTTAACAAAGTCAAAATGTTTTTCAGTTTTAAAATAAATTTTATAAGCAAACTGAGAGCACAGCAATTGGAAATCCGCTATCACCATTTTTAGCAGAACTTTTCATGAGTAAGTTCGAATCAAATTTAAAACATTCTAAAAATTTGGGTAAGGTATGTAGACAATATTCATACAATATTTAAATTCTTTTTAACCGTCGAATTAATTCACACATGAACAAGAAGTAGAGGGAAAATTGCTTTTTTTGGATTTATTAGTTAAAAGATTAAACACACACTCGTTCAGGTACATTCGGAACAATTCGAACCACAGCTGGCAACACAAAATGGCAGCTTTTAATAGTATGGTTTACAGTATTCTGATAAATAAAATAGATTTTGATAAAGAACTGATGGCTATAAGAGAAATAAATAGATTTAATGGGTATAATGAAAATGTAACTTTAAAATTAGTCCGAACGCATAAGTGGAATAAGCAAAAGAAGAGCAGCTAGTACACTCATAAGCGTGAATGAACAAAAACTAATTTGATCATCCATTTTATATTATATAAAATAAACTAGTTAGAATTTTTAAGTATTTTAATATTACTTTAGTAACATCTAAAGGTAATAATTCAAGTTATTATTAGGTAACCCTAAAGATAAAATAGAAGAAAGGGAGAAATCGGACATTTATAAAATACAACGTGAAAGTTATAATGAATGTTATGTAGGACAAACAAAAAGAAATATAGGGGTCAGGTTTAAAGAACACTTAAAAACATTAAAAATCAAAAAGTTTATAAATCTCCAGTGGCTGAATATTTATCGACACATAATCACTCTATTAAAACCATAAAACTAATTAAAATATTAATAATTACAAAAAACTTAATATTAGGGAGGCAATAGAAATGTTTAAAAATAAAAACAATTTAATTAGTGGGATCTTGACCAACTGAATTCATTATTAAACTTGTATAAACTGGCAAACTGTGATAATATTACTTAGTGATGACGTCACTAGGTGATAAGGTCACTAGGGGTATATAAGGGAGTTTTTTTTAGTTGGGGTGTCAGTATGTGCTTAGCATTGGTAATTGTAACATTGTTTCCGAAATACGTATACTTCACTTTTCAGTAATTTTTTTGTGGCTTTCGAGTTAAAAATTTTAAATACTTTTTAGTTTTAAATTCAAATTAATTTTGCTATTTATTTATTTTATGAAACATATTTTTTAAACTATTTATCATTTAAAATCAATCAAATTTTTCCAAAACTTTTGGTTATTTATTAATCATATCTAGTAGAGAATATTTACAAATTAGTTTTAGACTAATTTGTGCTTATTTAAGATGAAGTTTTTTTTTTATTATCTTAAAAAAAATTATTCAAGTTTAATTTAACATTAAAAGAAATACGTCGTCGCTGTTTATACGATAAATATTAAATACAATATAGATACATTTAAGTAAGTCAACAGTTATTATATAATACATTGTAATGCAATTATTTACACGACCATGTGAAAAATTCGATAACTTTTAAAATCTTTATGCGAAATTCGGGCAATTTTAAAAATCTGTCGTAGATTGTATTGATTATTTAAGTGTGTTTAAAGTCTAATTGTGTATAATTGTAATTACTTTGAATTTTACTTGCGTACATCAGTTTTTTCCGCGAGAGTTGATAGTGCATATGCATACAGCATTTCAAAACAATAATAGGTAATAGCACAAAAAGCAAACTGCTAATTTGTATAACAAATACGAGACGTTTATGATGACCTTCCCACATAAAGATACACTTTACGGGCTACACTTATATTACGGTCCTTGCTGTTCAGTAGAAATTGTGCAACGACAGTTGCGAATTATTATATTAACAAAAATTCCATAAAGAAGAATACAAAGAAAGGTCATGTCATATTATATTATATCCTGTAGGAGTTTTTTTTAGCTCAAGACTACCGGTTTAAAGACTCAAGGTTTCATATATTTTTGTGCCTTTAAAAACATTTCACATTTATATAAAATTGAGGATAGGTTGTTGGATAATGTGACACATTTAACAGGTTAAGTTGAAAAACCTTAGCTTAAAGTATTTACTATAAATGTATTTTCTAATTAAAAAAATTAGAAAATTAGAGAGAGTTACTTTTTGTCCTCTAAAGAAATTTTGGATATGTTATATAATTTTTAACTGTTTTACCGAGTAATATAAAAGAATTGGAGAGTAAACTTATCTGAAAGGGGAAAACGACCTAATAATCCATTCTTAGGTATGCTCCTGGATAATTATTTGTTTATTTTTTTTATAACTGAGTTAATTCAACCAATTTAATGATAATTTATATCAGGTTCGATAAATGAATTTTTCGCAAGTATCAATTGTGTGTATTCTTAAAAAGTTGTAAACATTTTATGAGTGAAAATCATTGATGTTTTGTTTACTGGGTAAAACCTAAATATTATTAAAATAAATTGAAAGTTTGTAAAATCTATTTTTCAACAGAGCAAAGAAAAATACTAATTAAATAATAAAAAAATTGACCAATTTGATTAGAGAACGCACAATTATTTATAACAATTATTAAAATAATTATATTACAGGAACTAACTGTTTAATATAATTAAAATTCAGTATTGAAGTTAAAATATTATAATAATAGATAAATTGTCTACCATGAAGTATCAAATTTGTAGATTTTTTTTTATGAGGATTGATTCTTTAATTTAGATTGCTATTCTACTATAATTTAATTAATGTAAATTACAATGTACAATCAATCGAAAGAACGCAACTGAATGACTATTTGGATAAAATAGGAGATTTCTATCTTACCATTTGGCCACCGAGTTGAATTCTCTCGTAGTCCATAATTTATTTACTGTACTATACAGAGGTTCAATAAGTAAGGCAACAGGTCAATTGTTGTAAATAATGAGAAAAATAGAAGTCAGTGTCATTACTTACTGAACACCCTATATATCTATGATGCTTTAAGTTTATTCACCCGATTTTTTTAATTTGTCGCTTTTACTACCCAGTTTGATTGCCTCAATATTCATTTTCCCAAATATATCTTCATCGAGTTAAAATTAATTAATGGATTTGTCGTGTGGTTTTTAATTTATTAGTGATAACTCAACAATTTTTTTAATAATAAATGTTACTACACATTATTAAAATTAAGTTTTATCTTTGAAAATGTTCAAACACAAATTTGCGGAGTGAAAACTTTTATTAAATGTAGTAATATATACTATTTTATAAATATAATTTTTTTTTGGTGATTTTCTCTAAAGTATTTATTTACTAATATTATTTATATAATTTATAAATTATTTAATTATATCATAGCTGGTATGTCAAGTTTATTTACGAAATTTTTTAAAATATTCTTGGATTAAGTAAACTGTAATTTTTCTATAATATCAAGTTAATTAGATGATTTGTTTCTTTTGTCATGTAGCTCCTCGCCAAACATAACCATTTTTGACAAAACAGTTCGGAAGTACTGGTTAAAAGTTATTATCGACCAGACATATTATTAATTAAATAATTTTCTATTACATAAGTTAGTTTTTCAAACATAATTTTGGTCTATTATGATAACAATAATTATACACAGTCCAGTTAAATTTTTATGAACGTCTTATCTTGTCTTACGAATTTAATGAATTCCGTTACTAATATTAATTTAGCACAGAGGAAAGATATTTTGTAACTTTTTTTTTTTTGTCTACAATCACTTAATTTTTATGTTTTTAAAAATAGGATTTTAAACAAGCACGGATCCAGAAGAAATTTTTGGTGGACATTTTACAATTTTTGTTAAAGTAATAGATACTTTTCAAAAAGAGGATCTATACTAGAAAATAATTCTTGTTTTGAGGGGGGGCCTTGCTCTCATGGCGACCCTTGTATCCGCGCCTAATCATAGAATATTTTTCATTGATAATTTTTTAAATAAAATTGTTCGACTTAAAGTGAGAGTGATTTGAAGAGTAAAATCTAAAATTAATTATGTCGACAAGTAAACTAAAGTTAACAATAATAGTGTTAGTTGTTCAATATTTGCATATTTTACTTGATAGTGGTTTAATTCGGTATGGTTAACGAATAACAATATAGATAACTATTAGATTAGAAATAGAAATAGAAAAAAAATTACCCATTCACGAATTTCGTATAAACAAGTGTGAGCATAGTTAATGAAACAGCAATGAAGAAGGGGACAAGGCTAAGCTAACTTACGAAAAACTTGCGAACGAGTGCGTACAAGTATCAATCATACCGGCGAATTGTTAGTGTCGTTGAGAATCGTATACTCTTAAACTACTTTAGTGTCGTGTTCTTAACCTATTTCTTTTTTTTTTGAACGAGCATATTAAAGTAAAAGTTATTTTTTACTGTAAAATTTTAAACGATAGCAAAATATTTGCAGAAGCAGCTCTTGTTTTGCTTTCTTTCTAAAAAGTAAGTTTTGATAATTTTAATTTTCAATTATAAGATACTAACACTAAAAAACGTGTGTAACGTCTATTAACAGTGACGTCTGTTCTTAATCGAATGAACACTATATACTAATTAATGGTTCATAGTTATTTGAAATAATAAGTGTAGCATAGGCGTTACTAAAGTAGGTAAGGGTATGTAGTTAAAATTTCCCTCTGAAACACTTAAAGTTACATTGACAGGAAGTAAACATGAACATTAAGAAGCAATATATTTTATTATATTTTAAATTGACTTTATAGTAAAATTATATTTAGTTAATTATTCATATTTATTGTTTTAACGTTATTTTTTGTAATTGTGTAAAAATATATTTTTAAACAATTTTCCAGACTTTAGCCCTTGGTCATATCTCAAAGATTTATTGTATCTACGATTCATTGGATTGTTCTACTTCAATTAATCAAATGTATACCAAATAAATCGTTGATATATTAAATTTCAAAGTAGACTTATTTCAAATACGTCTACTTAACTATCTTAATTTTCAAAATCGAATAAGTTATTTGATTTTGAAAATTAAGGTATACATACAGAGCTGTATTCTGCAGCAGTTTGCAATCTAAATGTTATATTTATTATTATTATTTTGGGGTTCATTACATCACAAATTATTTTTAAATAAAAGATTTTTTAATTATTTATTATCGTCAGTATTTTTAATAAAATGATTGAAAGAAATACGTTGTCTTATTTATAAGACGTGCCTTTTTTGAAGATTAAATAGCGGTTGTTTTATCTAAAAGATTTAAAGTTATTTTAATGGGTAAAGCTGCTGTGAATTGTAACAAATTACTAGTACTTAATATTTATTATTTTTTTTTATGTTTCATTGACTACAAAGTATCACTAAATAACGGATGTAGTAAAAATATATTGACCAGTAGCGTAATACGCATCGTTTAAAGTTTTTAATTTTGTCAAATTACAGATAACAGTGAAATGTAATTAGTAGTGACTGAACAGTCAAAATATGTCTGGCTGTAATTTATGGGCAACGTTTAAGTTTTTTCAAATAGTAAGTAATTAGAATATTTATACTTATTTAATAAATTTTATCGTATAACCAGAGACAAAAGAACAACCAAGTATTGTTACGTAGAAATGTTTATTCTACGTATTATAATTGTTCAATTACACAAAAAAATGATTTCGAATGCCCTTCAAACTTATAAAATATAACGTATACACGGGCCGTGGGAAAATGCCAAGGTTATATCAATTTTTAAGGCTAATATTATATGACGAGAAAATCTTGATGGTCGATGGCAGTACACAGGACCTAAGCACTTGACAAAACAAGTGATGCGAAAGAAAAACACTTTTTAACATAGGTTAAATGAATTATGTATAATGTACATACATGTAAATAGTAATTAAAATGAAAATGACGTGAGACATAAATAGGTGCTTAGCAAGCAAGGTAATAGTTTTTGCGAAATATTTTCGATTTTAAAGGCCATGGGATATTTAGGGTTAATTGAAATCAATTTCCAGTATTTTTTGTGTAATAATACTCAACAAACAGTACCTGTGGGGCAAATTATCAATAGGTCATGTAAACATCAAGATGAATACTTCAAAGTTTCAGAGTTTTCATCTTAAAAACTTTAAATTTCTCATGTGCCGAGAGTGAATTGAAACGACATAAGTATATCTATGAAAAATTGATCACTTGTTGTCAGTGCCGCAACTTACTTGGGTTTATAGGGGTTGTTTAAGTAATCCTGACTTGATTTTAGTACTTTCTCTGATTTTTAATACCTATAATTTCAACTAAGTATTTTTATATATAAAAATTTATCATTTTTTTTATGTTTACGTTATATTAATATTGACAAAAGCATTCTCTAACTCTTATTTTTTATTTTATTAATTCTCAGGGGAAATTGAAAATATAATGATATATTTATAATGAATATTACTATAATAATAGAATGTATAATTAAATGTAAAATGTATATTCAATAATACTATTGACCATTTAATAGTCAATAATTCTATTATAAAATAGTATTATACTGTTTCTTTAATAATATTAAAAAGTTAACTATATAGGTTAACAAAATTAAACTTATTTTATACATAAAAAAATTAATATAAATTAAATAATGTAATTTTATTACATTTCTTATATATGTTTCAAAAATGCTATAAAACTTAATACTCATCGCCAACGACCATACCACGTTGACAAACAATTAAGACCCTTAGCAAATTGATTAATCAAAAACACACATAAAATATAATAATTATTATAACATTTCTAATACATATTTTAAAAATGCTATAAAACTTTATATTCATCGCCAACGACCATACCACGTTGAATACACCAGTTCTCGTCCGATCACTGAAGTTAAGCAACGTCGGGCGTAGTTAGTACTTGGATGGGTGACCGCTTGGGAACACTACGTGCCGTTGGCTTTTTTTCCTTCCTTTTTCTGTTTGATGTTACATAAATATGTATAATCATATCTTATATTTTCACCTGTCATTTATTTGTATTTATATTAATTATTGTACGTTTCCTTTATGAATTTTTGTTTTATGTTACATTAAAAATAATAAATATTAATTATTTATTATTTTTACAAATTAATACAATTTTTACAATTATTGTAACTTTATTAAAATTTATAAATTGTAATAAAATTAAAATATGTTAAAAATATTGTAAAAAATTGAATGGAATATTTATAGATTTTTATTTTTTTAATAGATTTTATGACCATTAAATTTTGTCAGGCTATGGTATTTTTTAAATCTTTTAAGATATCAATAAAAAAATATAGTTTANTCAATAAAAAAAAAAGGAGAAAAAGGAAACGTACAATAATTTATATAAATACAAATAAATGACAGGTGAAAATATAAGATATGACTATACATATTTATGCAACATCAAACAGAAAAAGGAAGGAAAAAAAGCCAACGGCACGTAGTGTTCCCAAGCGGTCACCCATCCAAGTACTAACTACGCCCGACGTTGCTTAACTTCAGTGATCGGACGAGAACTGGTGTATTCAACGTGGTATGGTCGTTGGCGATGAATATAAAGTTTTATAGCATTTTTAAAATATGTATTAGAAATGTTATAATAATTATTATATTTTACGTGTGTTTTTGATTAATCAATTTGCTAAGGGTCTTAATTGTTTACTATAAGGTATGCAATCAAATATAAACCTTAAAATTTAAGTTGTATAAAAAAAGTCCCAGAAAATTTTTATCATTTTATTATTTCTGATAGTGTGATTTATTTCAGTTAATAAATTACCAATTTTGGAGTGGCTATTGTTTCTATGTTCTCTGTAACACTTCTGTATTTTGATAAAATGGGTAAAACACATCTATAAAAATTTACTATAAACTTAATTTCCAACGAGACAATATAGAGTTTGAAACATTATCTCACATTTTTTGGTTCATTAAAATAAATATTATTTTAAAAAGAAGATTATTTAAACAAATGATTTAATACTAAGATTAACTTCCTATGAACTTCTACAACTCTATATTCTAAAAGCTACTTGGACCCTTATAATAAATGTCAGAATATACTACTATGTTTACAAATATGTTTTTAATATAACTGGTTCATTATGGTTCAAGTTTAATTTTTGAATAAACTTAACATTAAACTTTATTAATATAACCGGTTAAGTTTGTATTTCAGGAAATTTTTTTGTTATACTTATGTTACTCATTTTTTACTATTACAAGATAGACGAGTGGCTTGTTGGTACAACTCTTTTAAAACATACGCATCTAGAAGCTAATTTAACCTAACTTATGTCTTACTTTTTACTTTTTTTTGCACCTTTGTTAATAATAAAAACTTTTTTTTTAGATTTTATGTTTAAGTTGTCTTTTATATAAACGATGGGCTGATACAGAGGCCAGGAGATTGTTTTTTTTACTGGAGAAAAATTCTCAAGAATGGCCGTTGTTAAATAGTATAACTAGAAATGGAGCCGGATCATTATTTGCAGATGTTACGTTTGGTGGTTATGTAATAATATGCATAGCTTTATTTATAGCCTATTTAATGGGTGAACTGAAAAACAGTAAAAAAACAGTATGTATTGATAGATATATTACTAATTATTTAAAAATAATTATTATAATTTTACGTTTAGGAAACATTTTTATTGGCTATTGGTTCAATTTTGTTTATTGCTGTTGGGTGTTTAGTAGTAACTACCATTGACAGTATTCCAGGAAATCTCGTAGCTAGTGCTTTAATACTCAGTTGTTTATCCATTACAACGGGTATGTTTTTCATATTAGATATATGTTTATCTAATAAAATAAACGAAAAAAAAACGAGACTTCCAAAAAATACCCGATTTGGTGATATTGCTCGAACTTTAAATGCTCCTGACATGGTTGATGCGATACGGTCTGCAAATAGTTTGCCAAAAGATCAAAAAATTAATTATAGTAATGGCCATACTAATGGTTATTCAAATGTCCACACTAATGGCGATAAAAATAGTCATACAAATGGTATTTTAAAAAAAAAAGATATAATGGAAAAAAAACAAAATGGATTATTACAAACAGCAATTGACCAAGTTACAACAAAAAGTGAGGCAGTTCAAACAATGACAGTAGAAGATGTAAGAAGTCAATACGGTCGAAAGTATTTAGAAAATCGTGGGTTCAGTCGACACTCTGATTGGTATGATACAGATATGGATTTACCTAAAATGAAAAAACTTGAAATTAATGTACCTGATGAATCGCATGAATACCGTCAAAGGTAGTTACAATAAAAATTAAAAATAACATTCTAAATTATGTATTATATCATTTTCATAAATCTTATTCATTTTAGATTTATACAACTAAAAAACGGCAATAAACTTCAATCTCCCAGTATTACAAGTACAGTTCATCAACAGGAGAGTCCTAAAGAAGAAATAGAACACGAAGTGAAAAATGATATTGTACCGTATGCTGTATCAGAAAGAAAGAAACCCACGAGACCTATTGATTTACCTTTAAAGTCTCCTGTAGAGCGAGTTAATGATTCGCTCCAGAAATCTGTTAAAAGTCGATTTTATTTTGGATCTAACATGGAAGAACCTAAATCTCCGAATGACCCTGGTTATGTTCTACACACAGCTTCCCGATGGGAAGAACCTGCTCTCTCTGCGAATGGATTGAAAAATTTCAGAAGAAGTCAAGTTTAGTTTTTTCAATTTTTATTCAAATATTTATGCACCATTATTTATAAATATAAAAGTATTAATGTTGTATAAATTTGTTTGTGTATATTTTAAAATAATCTAACCTGTAAAAATGATATCTCCCTAAACACTATTTATAGAAACTTTTCGACTGTATGTAATTTAAATAATTTCTAACTTTGCACTTAATAATCATTACAAAAATAATTTGGTGTTATTTATAAGTATGGAATATTAATAAATTTTACCTCTGATATTTTAATAATTTATACAGTCTATAAATTCTTAATTCAAATTATAAATACATTTTTATTTTTCTTTCATAATTAAGTTTTTGAATTAATTATTATTTTTCAATGTATAATGTTTAAAACGCACATACCAAATTTTTTTTTATAAAATATACTTAGACTATTATGTTATTTATTGTTAACTTTTTATTTAGTTTCATTATTTGCATAAAAGACTTTTTATATAATTATTTATTTTAAAATATGTTGTCATTAATAAATTTTTAATCAAGTAAATTACATAAACGTGAATAAAGTGAAAATTTCAGATTTTGTATGTTTTTCAATTAATTATCAAATAATTAAATAATTCTTAATTATAACTTCAATTGAATTTTATTTGAAATGTGTATAGTTATGGCTTAACTATGTGTAAGTTCATAGTTTTTATTTTGGATGTTTTTTTTAATAACTTTCAATACTGTGTGTTAATATGGTTTAACTATTAATGATAAGTATTAACAATTAAGTTTAAAAAATGTACAATTCATTAATAATAGTCAGGACTATATACATGATAAAATTTAATAATAATAATAAAAATCAGATATATTATTATGTTACAGTAAATATAGTTAAATTAAAAAATTAGGGGATTAAAAAATAATCATTTTTCAGGGAAAAAGAAATAATATTTAAATTTTTTTATACAAAAATGATCTAGTTAAATTTAAGATTATTATTATATCCAAAAATTTCTAACAAAGAAGACATTACAAATACTTTTTATGCTATTAACAATTTATTTTTTATACAAAACAATAATTTACAACATCTTACTAATATAATAAATAATCATTAATATTTTATTTAACAAATGACTTTTCTGGCCCAAGAATCTCTGAATTAACCTCTTCTTCTTCAATGTGTTTATTTATATCAAATGTATCTTTTTTATATTCTTTTTTATTGAGTACTTCAAAACCTTTTATTCGAATTACTGTAGCTTTTTCTACTCCTAACATACGCGCATATTGAAATCCTAAAAAATAAATTTTATCAAATAGTTATAATTATCTTCAGTTTCAGTTCATTATAATATTACCAGGTGAAAGTTTGGTTTCTTCTTCTGGAACCAATCCTTCAGCTTCTAACCATTCTAATTTACCATGTCGTATATGATAAATAACAGTACTCAAAGCTAAAGCACTAAAAAGAAAGTATCCTTTAGCTAAAAATGCCTTTCTTGTCTCTGCTTCTTCAACAGTCATTGGTTTCATAATACGTCTAAAGAATCTTCTTAAAAAATGAATTCGTACTGAAAAAAATAAAAATAAAAAAAAAAGTATAAATAAATTAGTAAAATATGATTGTTTTCATTATATTTAATCATTCAATATCTTTGGAAACTAATTATTTTAACACAATCAACAATAATTTTTCTGTTAAATTTAAAGAACTAGAAAAACAACAAGATAAGTTCACTTTTGTAGAGAAACAATTAACAAGCTTGTTTCAAATTTAAATATATCAATAAAAGGACATCCTTTTTTATAATAAGTCAATGGCAAATCATTGAAAGTATACATTTGTAGTACCTCATTATAAAGTAGTTTTATCATAATATTCTATGAAAAAGTAAATTCAAAATTAAAGTACACTTTTCTGGTTTTGGAGCAAACCCATCTATTATGTATTATATAATATTTTATAATAAGTAATCAGTAAAGAATTTTCAGTAAAATGAATTAAATATTTTTCAATATGTTCTATACTCAATTTCTATGTAGTAGGATTATTAAAAACATAAGTATAAGTAATAAAATAATTTATAAGACAAAATTATTTAATTCACTATAATTTAATACTTACATCCAAACATTTTTATAGGTTAATCAACAAAATAATAATTTTTACCTAAAGTAAGGGAAACTTTATATTTGTTTTTAATATATTTATATTAGATAACTATTTAATTAAAATAATTAATTCATATTCCATTTGAAAAAAATTTCTAAGAAAAATTTTAGATTTATCAACATTATCAAAAATAGCTTTTTTAAATTTGATATGATAAGAATATGTTACTTCCGGTCCATTCTTATAGATAAGGTCGGAAAACCTCGTTTTATCAGTGTTCAGCATATTGAATTCGAATCGTTTCAGATGTTGTCCGAAAAATCGCTTTTTTAGGGAAATTTGAGGTTACACGTCTTTAAAATAGCACTTCTGCGTACAACTTTTGAATTACTTTCGACTCATTAACAAAGCGCTCAAGTACTTTTTTTTAGTGCAACAAAACATTTTTTGCGCTGTATATTACCTTCTCTGCGCACGACATTAAACGAATACGACCTTCTCATTGGCTATACAAGCTATGTGATAACAATATTATATTTGGCGCTTGTTTTAAAATATTTTGTGTACATTAATAGATAAATACTTCAATAAACATATTGTTTTAGTTTTATGGAAGGGAAAAGTTGTTTGTAATTACATTTTGAAAATGTTTCTCGAACTCTATTTAAATGATTTACCATCATCATTTAAAATTATAATTTTAAAATTAAATGATTTTATAATTTTAATCAGATCAAATACAAATAATATTTCTGATATGGCTCAATGGATAGAAGAGTTTTCTATTAACATTTGCATAAAATAGAATGTCCGATCATCTGTATTATTTGAATATACAGAGTGTTCAGTAGGCAAGGAAACAGGCAAATTGTTATAAACAATGAGAACCAGTTTCCTTACTTACTGAACATTATATATACAGTGAAAGTTAGTATTATATTTAAACCAATTAAATATACAATGTGAACAATAACTAATAATTATTTTTTATTAGAAAACATTTTATATGTCATATTAGTGGTTATAATAAAGTAAATAGAGATCAAAACAAAAGAAGTTACTCAAAAAATACATATTGCAAAGCTTCTATAAAAGTTAATACGGTTTCAACAAAAAAAACTGAACCTTATGTTGATGTAAGTTTTTTATATAGTTTGCATTAAGGTTCGTTAACAATATAGATATCACCTCCTTTTTTCATTTTTCCTACGATATCGATTATTTTTGAAATATGGTACTAATCGAAAAAAAAAAATTTTAATAAAAAAGAACTGTTTGAATTTCAGTTATTTTCTTATAATATATATATTATTTGATATTTCACAAAAAACAGTTGGTGATAATCTCGTTAATATTTTTTGTATTAAAATATATTATGAAATATAAAATTGACATTAGACGAAAAATGATATTTATTAATACAAATTACTATTCATAGATTAGGTTTTTTATTATGCCATTGTTGTAATTCCTATTTTTAACAAAACAATGTAATATATAAGGAAAATTAGAGAAAGAAATTTCAGAATTAGAAGATATACAGCAACAACTGGTTGAAACTCAACCTGAAAAATAAAATGAAATTATAGTCAAAAAAAAAAAAAAATTCCCTATCAGATGATATTGATGAAGATGATGATGTTTTATTCTGTAAAAATTTTTATTTTATTTTTGAAAAGAAAAAAAATTTTTCAATTATGATAAAGCAAAAAATATAAGCACTACTTGTTATATTTTTTATTAACTAGGTTCCGCCTAGATGGGGCTCCACCCCAGACCCGGAGCCCTACGAGCCTTATGCGACTTCAGACCATATCTTCCTTAAATACACCCCTGGTATACACAAAAATGATTAATCTTCTAATTATAATAATTGTGTTTATATTATAGAATAATTAAAAAAAATTCAGCAGGTTATTATACGTGGGACTATATAAAAAATTTAATTTTGATAAAAATATTGATAACTGCGATTTAACGTTGAACAGCATAGTTGTCATAGATGAATCATAGATGAATAGATGATAATAATTTACTGTTCTGATAATGAAAGTACAAACTTATATAATTATAACCGTCTTGAAATTAATGTATAACATATAATATTCCTCGATAAAATATAATGCTATGTGCAAATGCAAAATAGTGTCCTAATAAAAATACAAATTTTAAAACGCTCGCGGGCGAGCGGCAAAAATTTCCGACCTTCGTCAATAATTTTCCTAGAGTCTAGTGACCGAGTACTTTCGTTGAAAAAAAAAATTTTGATAATCCGAGCACGCTAAGTAATTTTTCCAGAAAAGCGTTTTTTTCCTTGTTCTATTATATAATGAGATTTTTATTTAAAACCAAAATACTGAAACTATAATACTATTATTCAATAAAGAAAAATTTCATATATTTAATATAATCAATATATCTTATATAAAGTCTTGTAATAAAAAAAAAAACTTATTTCTTCATAATAAAAAGTAATTTGAAAATATTTGATTATCATTATAATATACAGCTATAATGTATATAATTTTTATATTAATGTCATATCTTATTTGGTTGGTATTTCAGAGTCTGATTTTTACAATAATGTTACTTAATGGTATTCTTAAAAATTTAAAAAAATGGTGAAAACATTAAAGTATAAAATTTAATTTTTGAGTATAATTTATTTTTTCATACGATATCTATATATCGCATATTAGGAACAATTTTTTTTCAATATTACGATACAGTATCACTGAATTTCAGAGGAAAACACCTTTGCCACGAACTGATAATGCTCCAACATTTACATACTTCGACATTTGACAAAGTAGTAATTGTTACGAACATCTGGTACTCCGATCATCTGATACCATAGGTTACCAAAATTACGACGGATTTTATTCCGACATTAAATTAAAAAAATGAGACAGCAAAAACTCCGACATTATCGATAGTTTGATTATGCATCGAAAGTTATATTATATTTTAATTGTATTATTAGTAATAGGGCACATCGATCGTATATGTCGCAACGTCAGGGTCACGTGGCTACAGAAACACTACATTATTAAATTAATTATATTATTATTAATAATATTGTAAAATTTAAATTAAAATGATCTATTAAATTAGCATTTATTTGCTACTATAGTCATTATACAATAATATATATATATTGCTTATAATAATTTTCTGATACAATTTATCTCATTTGACAAATATTGTTAATACTCGAATGATAATAGTCATTCATTAAGTAACATAAAATTAATATTTTTTAATATAAATGAACATTTTTGAAAAAGTTTTCTCTATTGTTAGAATATATATTTATCGTTGAGAATTTTATTTCTTAATTATCCAATAATTACAAAATATTTTCATCAAATCAAAAAACTGTTTGTTAACTGTTTTTTCAGTTGATCCACAAAATTTTATCTAACCGTAACTTATTTTTGAACATCTAAGAGAACCATTTGAAAACTAATTTTTCTATAACAAATATGTGCTGTAAAAATTGTAATGTGCAATTTTATTAGTGATTAATTCCTAAGTGTGTATTATTAAAAAATAATGACTAATATAAACATAAAATTGTTAATATTTGTACAATATAAAATTGGGTGTTCTATGTCTAATTTGATAATATGGATAAGTGTCTTCGGGAAGAGTTAAAATAATATCTTATTATTTGTTCGGATGCTGAACCTATAAACTGAGAACCCTTGAGGTCTATCCAATAATTTTGGATGTAGTGCAATAGAACCTCAAGGTTAAAAAAGAAATTTCTTCCATGTGTGCCTCATCATTCTTGGGGATGACTGGATTTTTTCCTATGCTACATTAGGATATTTAAGTATAAAAAAAACATAGTATATCCAACTTCAATGCAGTAATTTGTGAATAGACTTTTTTTAGTCTTAATACTTTCTGGAAGTTTCTTCCAATAGGTTTGTATTGGCTCAGTGGATTATGATTAATTTTTCTTTCAGCAATTTTAATTGAAAATTAATTACTAAAATAATCTTTAACTTTTATATAAAAAAATAAAAATAATATTAAACTGTGTAAGTTTTGTTACTTGAAGTGCTTGAGGATATATCCATGTTTACAGTTGAGTTCTGACGTTTCCTCAAGCACTTCAAACAACAAGACAATCCATGAAAGTTTTAACACATTCATGTGTAAGTTTTGCTACAAGGTCTAAAATAAGTTATGCTAAGAATGAGTAAATTTTGGTTATATTTAAGTAGAATTAATTTTTTCTTATTTAAAAATTCTGTGTGTTGTCTAAAAGTAAAAATATATTAACTCATCGTTAAACAATTTTAATTTTGTGACATGAGTTTTATAATCAATGTTAAATTATTAGTAAAACCACTATAATCTCCAGTGGTGCTCAAAGAAAAGTTTAAAATATTAAGGAGTAAAAAATTATTTATTTAAAGTTCTTTTTCTTTAAAATCTAATATACATTTATTTTAATCAGTTTGATATTTCCTTGAAAAAAATATCTGAATAGCCTTTCCTTTTTTTAATAATAATTACAATGAAATGGTTACAAAATTAGACTTCACATATTTTTAACAATGCACTCCATTATTTTTCACAAGTGTTATTCTTTGATATTTTATTTATCAGTAGTTAAACATTATATACTATTAAATAAATGTTATTCCCTTTAAAAATATGCATTTATCACTTGATAACTAACATTTAATACATTTTTCTTTGTTTTTAATAAAGTAACAAAGATGTTTAGTCCATTAAATTTTTTTTATGCTGTAATTTGTGTATCATCACTACTATTAGTTAGTAAAAATATTTTATTAATTAATTTTAAAATTATATCTATTCTAGATTTTAATATGGAAATCATTATCGCTTCTCAAACGCACAAAATAAATTGTCTTTTATCGTGTACACAGGTTTTTTCTAATATTTAAAATAGAAGTGAACAATTATTCGTTTAAGTATAAACAAATAATAATAGTGTAGTGTTAATAATAATAGCTAGTTTAATGACGAATCCTATCATCAGTGACACGTAGCCCTATATTTTTTAACTAAACTAATTAAATGTTATAATAATAGGTACTAATAAGGAGAGGCAAAAAAAATTTTACGTCCGAAAATTGGAATCGCTCTTCTTTCCCCTCCAAAAAAAAAAAAAAATTTAAGGGCTCACACCAGTTATATAACTGGGGTTGTTCTAGTTCAAAGCCCCCTTCCTTACCTTTATGTACCTATCTTATCAAAAGTCGGATACATTTCGAGGACCTTTATTGTAATAATTATTCGTTAATAGACAGTAATCAATTATAACGCTATTTTATTATATTAATTAATATTTATTAGTTAGTGATAAAGGTTATATTTTTCCATCAGATAATATTTTGCTGCAATACTCATCTAATCTGAAATTTCATAATTTTTAATAGATTTCGCAAATAAT